GGTTGTCTCACAAAATAGTTGTTCCCTTATTTCAAAGGATGAACGTGATATAAATTATCGCTTGGTAATGTGTGCATGTGTGTGAGAAACCTCCCTCTTCTTTTAGTTTAGATTATCGCTTGTTTTTATGTATAAAAAAGAGAGTATCATATATGTGATAACATGAAACATCCAAACTAACCAATGAATGAATGGCATTAGTTGTATTCTATATTAAAAGGCTTCACTTTATTAATATGGGAGCTACCCTCAACAGCAATATGGAGAAGTGCATATAACGTTACACCCTTTTTCTTTCACATAGAATTCTTGTTCACTCTTATCTTTCACATTAGCAATGGATACCCCACAACTACCATTAGACATCCATGAAGACTTTAACAAAAGGTCAAAAAACAAATCATTTTCATTATGTTTCCACTTGTTTTATTTATTTTATTTGATTTACCATTTTTGTATAACTTAATATCACCCGTACAAATCAAGTCAAAAATGTACTATCATATCTTTGTAACCATCCATAATAACCCGCCGTTAAACATATGTTGTCCTTTATGGACAAGAAATCGCCACATAAGAACAACAGAAACAAGAAGCGAAAAGTTCAATTTATAATCAGATATGATTGCAGTCCTTCATGAGTTTAAAGATTGTTTTACTTAGTATTATCAAGAAATGCCCGGTCTTGACAGGAAACTCGTTGAGCATCGGTTGCCCATTAAAGAAAGCTACTTAACACGCCAACAAACTCCGTTACGCATATCCATTGAAAGATAATTAAAAGTTAAAGAAAAGTTGAAACGATTGTATAAAGCTATATTCACCAGAACAGCCAGTATATAAATGAGAAGAGAAATACTCATAACCATAAAAGGATTATTTATATTTTTAATTAATATGTAATCTAAATTATAATAGGAGGAAAATTGATTGATCGTACGTTGTTGCTTCCACCTTATCCAAGTACATCAAATCTAAATTATTGATGATGAGAGTCGAAGATGCAAAACACAAAGTCACCTCCCAGCATAGCATGGGAAACCACTGGAGTGGGAGGCAGAGTCATGTACACGCACGCGTGCTTGAGAAAAGGAAATCTGAGCGAGACTCGTTTATCCTAAAAACAAATGTTGGGTTGGGGTTGAAAAGTGGAAAGCTTTGGTCCATGAACATGGACGAAAGCTAAAAAAGTTAATGGATTTATTTATGATACATGATTATGTCCAAAATCGGTTCGAGTAAATATTCTTCTAGCTAATGATGCATGGATTATCCAAACCTGCCCTTTTAGGCGACATGGCATCAGTAGAAACCTAGGGTTCATTTACTTTAAATAACCCTTTTCTTCTATTATTTCAGTTCAGGAATAATTAAGCACACTATTTTTTTCCTTTATGAGAGATTTGTGTATGATGGCAATATTGCGGGAAACGTGGCTATTGGCTAGCCATTTGATTAGGATATGGTGGAGAAAGGAAAGGAAAACTATTTCAACTGCAACATTATTCAATTCTATTCACATATATTTTATCGATCTAGGAATCATGTGAGTGGCTTAGTTTGAGAATTATTTCATGATGTTCTTGAGAAAGTCTTCTTCATAGAATGATATCATAGCCAATGCAACAAATACTTGCACATAGTCAAATGAGTTATATATGGGACCCTTTTGGACAAGTGGCGTGTCAATATAGACGAGATGTGTACGCACAAGACTCAAGGGTGGTGGATTCTTCCCTTATGTGATATGTTTGTGGGATAATTTGTAGTGGACTATATATTTAAGAGGCTTAATTACACTAATGGCTTCTAAAACTTCGGTCAAAATACAAATTAACTCTCACAAACTTAAAATGGTTCACTTTCACCATTTGATCGAAGTTTGATGACCTATGGAGGGTGGGTGTTGGAAAGAGAGCGAGGGAGAGAGAATTTTGTTTTTTGTTTTTTGTTTTTAATATTTTATTACATTTAAAATGCACAGTGTCACACATGCAATTAATAAAGAGATTTTATCGAAATCTTAATGACGAAACCATGTTATAAATTTTTTTAAAAACCAAAGTATTTAATTGTAAAATAATAATAATAATAATATCTTAGAAATGTGAAACCACATAATACTAAACTATAAATTAATCCATCTAATAACATAAGAACGCAGAGGCCATAGCCATAGGCATCCTAATCTAACAGAGCCAATAATATATTAGATTATATAATTGCATAGAATACGAGGAAGATGCTAGACAACAAAGTAAGAGAAAAGAAAGAAAGACCCCCAAAAGTAAAGTAGATAAGACGATAAGCCTTCTATGAGTCATCCAACCAAATTTAAGCCATGAGACTTTGGGTGCACACGAACAACCTCTATGCAGTTCTAGAAACCACGCACCCTTTTTGTCTTCCGTTCTCTTTAACTAACATTTAACAACGTCCCTGTCAAGTATGAAACGGCCAGGGGACCCGACTTTCTAGCTCAAACGCCTTTATATCCAATTGATGGAATGGAACCCTACTTATTAGGCTATATATGGCTAGCTAGCTAATAAAATAGCTTTGCCCAATGCCAGAGATGATGATCCTTATCGTTATCGTTAATGAACTATACGACGGCACATACACAAACTCCTTGAAAATGAATCACACACCACGAAGAAAGTAAACAAACACACAATACACACAAATATTTATAGAGATTCGATAACGTGCCTATGTCTTTTTTGATGATTGCGCTGAGAAATTTAAGTAGAAAAATGGAAACAACTAGTTGTTTGGTTTACAACTCAAAACCCCTTAGCACTCTATTCTCTAAAACCCTAAGTCTTAATTTCTCTCACACCCTTACTCAAACCCTTTGGTGCTCTTGTAAACTTCCCAAGAATTCCCTCTTGAATTCTCTTGTGACTCTATCTTCTAAACTCCCTGGCCTCTCTTTGGCTTGGCAAGTTTAACCTAGTCCTAGAAGTCCTATTTATAACCCTAAACAAACTTCGAAAAAATAACAAATCACGTCAAAACCAAGCTAGAGCCAAAACACTTGCCTGCATTCCACGTGATTCCTCTCTTGCTGCTTCTTTCTTGCAGCCCATTGGTTCCTTATTCCTTTCACGTTTATGATGAGCCAACTTCAACACATTAGAATAGTTTAAAATATCGTTTTTGTAAAATTTAAAAAATATATATTTAAAATGAAGAGTGGGAAAGTTATCACTTTCACAAGCCATGACATAAATTAACATATGCACATGCACGGTTCAACGGGTACATGCATGAGACTAAACTAGTGTACCCTCTAAATATACCCAAGACCATGTGTCTATATAAGATCCACATTTTTGGCTATATTTCTATCTCTTATAATGGATATCGAATATCATTTGCAATTATAACCCGTGATCTATCTTTTTCAAAATGAAATTCATTATGCTTATTTACGGCTGAGAATGGTACCAGTCACAGTACTAGCAACAGTAGTTGTACTAGAGACGATACTCAAAAGATTTGCATGAGAGAGAGAGAGAGAGAGAGAGAGAGAGAGAGAGCAAACTTTATCAAAGATGGGAAATTTCGTGAAGGAGGGTGTGGAAAAATAATGTTGGGGAAACAAATGGAGAATGTCAATTTTGTAGCCAATGATATATCGAGTTGGATGCGGCAACGAGAAGAAGATGGACCATACATGTTTCTTTCCATGGTATATTTTCTTTTGGGTTGAAGGCTACCTCCATTGAATCAGATTCTAAATGTTAAAACCTTCATATCCATTGCTCTTGGACTCTTGTTTTGCTCATGCTCATGACGCATCATACTCATCACAACATATTTCACAATCTAATCCATAAGAGGACAGAAAAATATGCACTAAAGCTTGCCCACGTGCGTGCGTGCATGCGTGAGTAATTGTGACCTATTATACATTGTAGAAATCATACACATTAAGATCCGACCATCACTCATGCATGTGTGTAGGCGACTACCATAGAAATTGAGGGTTGATATGAAATGAAACAAGAGTATTTGATATTTGCCTAGCTTCTGACAGTTCAATTGGTAGTCCTGTTTCATGTGAACATAATCTTCCTTCATTCTGGTCCATAATTTTGTTAATGTGTTTCACACCAACGGTCCATATCGTTATCATTGCGAACGTACTTCCCTTCAGCTGTCATTATGCACTTGTATCATATATACATAGCATAATCATCACATACGTACACATCCAACAGATCAATGGTACCCGAAGCACCACGTGGCACGACTAATTAAAATTCTTCCATGTTAAGTATACTTTTTGACCAAGTAACCTTCCCTTCTTTTTCTTTTTTCTGTCAAAAATGTAATCTTCCCTTCGTTTTTATCCATATATGGATTGAGATATTGAAATCAGATTAAGGATTATAAAAGTGGGGCACACGATATTCTCTGTACTTAGCCTCCTCATCATAGATTGTGAATGCTTTGCCAATTCAACCAACTTATTATATATTTTGAGTGGTTTCTTTTGATATATATATAGGTTGAGTTTTGAGAGCACCAAATGCCATCTCTATCAGAGGGATGCATGTCTCCATACAAAGCCCAATAAGACATGAAAGTTATGTGCAAGTGGTGACATATATTTTTTCATGTCTTTTGCTAACAGGACCACATAGGAAAATCCCAATGTGTTGTTAGGGTAGGCAGTGAAATACCAATTATGTCCAAGTCCAGCCAACAATATATCTTATATGGGACAATGAGAATTTCAGTACACTACCCATCAAAATCTATTTTTCTCAACCCTCCTCACCTTCCTCCTAAATTTACACCCCAATAAGTCAAAGTTGTCATTGGAAGTCAACCCTGAGGAAATTCATGAGTCTAATCTGAAACTGCCAATTGGGTTAGTTTTTTAAGGGCTGTGCATGGGGAAAAGTATAATACATTATCAAGGGACAAAGCATGCCTTACTACATGGTCAAGAGTCAAATCATTGATGATTAAAGCTGTACAATTATTTTTTTGTTTTTGTATGAGGATACTATTTGCCTTCTTCGCCTGCAAAGAGATATTCATAGTTAAGCGAATTACAGTTTGACACATATATAAAAATAATTCATCTAAAACATCCAAAAAAAAAAACCTTTCGCACACGTATCCGCGTCACAATGCTATTGACAGGAAGTATGACCCACAAAACACCATGTATTTGGTATGAACCAAACAGAAAACTCCAATCAAAAACCTCATCTAAGAACACAACACCCGGGCCACCTCTTTCCTCTTTGAAGGCCAAGTACTATTTGAGTGGAAAAAGATCACAATCCGAAGCCTGCCTTATCACACAGGATAAAAGCTCTGTCCAAAACCATATGCCCCTGGACAAAACGCAAAGCAGCATCACAACACAAAACAAACCTGTCATAAACAATTCACAACCAAACCAAAAGAAAAAGGGGAAAAAAGGGAAAAAGCCAATCTACTACTCCCCACACAGATACTTCCGTAGCAATATAAATACCACTCCATCCACATACGAAACTCTCAAGCCACCACCACCCACTCACCACTCTCCACCTAATTCCCATTAATTTCCTCCAACCCCCAAATAAAAAAATAAAAAAACTGAAAATTAAAATTAGAAATCTCCAAACCTAGCTAAAGGAGATCAGTAAACAGTGAAGCCCCTACTCCGGTTAACAGTCAAAGATGGTCAGCACCAGCATAATCGACGCCCTAAACGTCCGCGTGGTCGGCTCCGGAGATAAGTTCCTCGTCCTCGCCCACGGCTTCGGCACCGACCAGTCCGCCTGGCAGCGCATTCTCCCTTACCTGACGCAGTCCTACCGCGTCATCGTATACGACCTCGTCTGCGCCGGCAGCGTCAACCCGGACTACTTTGACTTCCGTCGTTACACCACCCTCGATGCCTACGTCGACGACCTCCTCGCCATTCTCGACGCCCTCTCCGTCACCCGCTGCGCCTACGTTGGCCACTCCGTCTCCGCCATGATCGGAATTCTCGCCTCCATCCGCCGACCCAACCTCTTCTCCAAGCTCGTCCTCATCGGCGCTTCTCCCAGGTAATTGGCCAACCATGTAAATCGAATAATTTAAAATTTTGCCTCAATTACGCCCAATTGACACATCATTCAATTACCCACAATGTTAAATTCTCAAAATTGATTTGGTCCAAACCCAATAATCCAATTTTTCTTGTTTTTAGATTTTTGAATGATAGAGATTACCATGGCGGATTTGAGCAAGAGGAGATTGAGAAGGTGTTTTCGGCAATGGAGGCGAACTACTCGGCGTGGGTCCAAGGCTTTGCGCCGTTAGCCGTCGGAGCCGACGTGCCGGCAGCGGTCCGAGAGTTCAGCCGGACCCTTTTCAACATGCGACCCGATATCTCGCTTTTCGTATCTCGGGCCGTCTTCAACAGCGATTTGAGGGGGGTTCTGGGCCTGGTCAGAGTGCCCTGCTGCATAATCCAGACGGCGAAGGACGTGTCCGTGCCGGCTTCGGTGGCGACTTACCTGAGGGACCACCTGGGCGGTCGGAACACCGTCGTGATGCTGGAGACGGAGGGGCACTTGCCCCATCTGAGCGCGCCGAGCCTGCTGATAAGGAAGCTGCGGCATGCCCTTTCGTCGTCGTAGGTGGGCCCCACAGTTTGTAGTAGCTAACGAAGCGGGGCCCCCGGAGAGTAGAAATTGCAATAAGGATGGGAGATGGTGACACCTGTCCCTAAAGGTGTGGACGTTGGTCCTTTAGGGGCGAAACCACTTTGGACTATGTATGATATCTGCGGGGAGGATAAGAATCTCCATGTGATTGTCACGTGATGAACAATTGTCATCCTTCTTTTTTTTCTTTTTTTTTTCTTTTGTGGTTTGGAATCTGCTTTAATTTCTACTTGTACTTGGCTTATTATATGGACTTTTTTTTTCCCCTTAATTTTAAAAATATCTACTTTGCTCCGTATCCATACTATGATTATTTATCGTACATACAAGCAGATATAATTAAATAAGTTCGGCATTTCAAAATTAAATAAGTTCGGAAACCAATATTGTAGGTATAAGGCAATATAATGTCCAATCACTAATAAAGTTGATCTTAAATATATAATTAATCACATTATTGATGAGAATTTGCTCAAACATGATCGTTACACCGCCGCATAAATAGACTTTAATATCGAATTTGTATTAAAATTGCCATATCACATCATATTACCAATTCAAGATTGGAACTCAACTCATGACTGCTAGTTTAACATATATGAGTTCATATAAAACTATGTCAAAAAAACTCTTAAATTTACGGATGATTTTTGTATATACCAAATTCATTAAATGTAAGCATTACTTCTGCTTTTGTTTTTGTTCTTGTTGATATAAATATTCTTTCATTCAATGAAATAACTAGACAGATAAAATCGCATCATCTTATGAAAAAGATATTAACTACTTTGGCCAGCCCATAAAATCAAGAAAAGAAAGAGAGAACGAAAAAATATATAAGTATTTTAAGTACTATATATGCATGCAATTCCTTTCTTCACGATTGGGTGGCGGACCCAGAAGTTGCACACACGAAGAGAGGGGAATGCATCACATAATGGTCCAAAAAGCCAATAAGGGTTAGTTCAGTTGGTAAAGTCCATGTTTTGTGTATAGTCCTGTTAGTGTTTAAGTCATGCTCTCAGCAGTCCTCATTAGTGCACGATATGTAATTTTCTACATAAATCCATATTCGTGGGCCGTGGCAATTGACAATTGGGTGCAATGCATAAGTCCTTCCAACTTGAGATTGTAGGTATGCTTTGACGCTGGTGGTGAGGATAGCTAATCTACTCCTAAACTTCTTTTTAAAAATTTTAAAAAAATAGAAATAAAAAGTCCATGGTCCAAAAACAGAAATAACAAATAACCCACATGGAAGAGTAAACCTCAGAGAACTTGTTTAAAAATTCGATTTGTCAACAATGAAAAAAACAAAAACAAAACGAATCAGAACGAAGATCTTTCACAACTATGCAGGGACCATGGCCACGTTTGGTCTCGACGTAAGTCTGCCCATCTATGATTTGGGTTACGCATGTCCTTTTATATCCAAAACCTCCAAGTTATTTTACAGCCCAACTCAAAAACACTGGGCTCCCTTCATCCCCACAAGCCCAGTGGACTCTCCACAGTCCTCTTTGCCTGTTAGGGTTTGCCAAAGTCCAACCAAGCTATTTATGATTTTCTTTTTGGGCCGAAGTTAGGAAGGGGAAGTCATTTTATAGTGAGGGCTTATGGCTCTTGGGTGAGGTCCTATCTCCTAATTGTTGGATCAGGCTAACCAATTTGATCTAACGACTAACTGATTGATCCAACAATTAAAAGATAGGGTTTCACCTAAGAGTCACATATAAGACTCTCACTATAGAATTCTTGTAGGAAGGGGAGTGAGTTTTCACACACACTGTCAATGTGCTATAGAGGTTCGTTCGAACATGCAATGAAACTACTAGTATACAAGTCAATGCCTTATTCAACTAGACTAGACCCCATATTGAAAAATATATATTTTTGCCATAATTTTTAATATTTTCATTTTTATTTTTGCCCGAATGAGAATCTAAGCCCCACGAATAATAATATTTAATGAATGATTTTGACAAGCAAACGAAAGTTTGGTGTCCAATCTGAAGTTGAGGAGAAGACCCAACCTGCTAGCTTATATGATTCACACCATTAAAGACTAACACATAATGAAACTTATCCAAAAAGAATAAAAAATAGACTATAAACAGCACAAGTATGGTCAAATTTGGAGGCCAATTGGTTGCTGTATCGTTGTCTTTACTTTCGCAGAGGAAAGAGAGACGATGTCGCTCAACACTCAACAGTGAAGTCAAGAGGTAAAAGACGAAATATTGCTCGTGTTAAATGGTCTAAGGTTGAGGCCAATCAAGGCCTTTTGACATTCCTTTTTTTAGTGTGGGTGGGTACAAGTAGTAGAAGTAGATGGCATACTTGCCCATTGTCATAGCCGCCTCCTTCCTTATGATCCAAGCAAGACCTGGTCTTGTTCTAGTGAGTAAATTTTTGAGCAATCCATCCATGGGCTACATATAGCTAAAAGGAACCCAATTTTATCAACATGTTAATTATGATGTTTTTTTTTGGGTCTTTTTAGTATCGGTAAGGGATTTGAAATTGAAATTTGAATTATATGGGTGGTTAGGCAAAGACCGGTAAAGTAGTGTGGAAGCTTCTTATCATTAGTAGCTAATTTATAAATTAATTTGAAGGGATGGTAGGTGATATGATGGTTTGGATCCATGTGTGTATTATTTCCTCCCGCTCGCTGACCATAAAAACCAATGCAAACAAATGGTGATGTTGATGGTGATAACGGGACGCGTTGATTTCTATTTGAAACTAAGGTTTTGGACCTTCCATCTACAAATAGGCTTTCTATCATAGCAGAATTTTACGCCATCGCCTATGGTGAAGTAACATAATCATCAAAGTCGACTAAAATCTAAAACATATCAAGAAAAACTTAGAAAACATGTCAAAGGTTAAAGCCATTTGGTTCACACAAAAGGAATTCAAGGAAAAACGTAATTGATATTTGTCTTGACTTTTCACTTAAAAGTAAAATGAAATTCAAGTTGTTGTACTAAAGGTTACATTTTTCCTTAACTAAATACGGGAACTTCACAACACTTGCCAAATATCCTATTTGGGGATATTAGTTTACCATATTTTTCTTAACTCAATGTGTATTTATTCTTAACATTTAACACGTGTATGTATGCATAATCATAGTTTCATAAATACAAAGTAAAAAGCTAATTATGATTATATTTATAGACATATATCAAGTATTAATAAAAATAATAATGATACATCTTGGGTTCAAGTTGTGAAAAAAATATTTCCGTTTAATTAATCTGTAGTTGATACTTGAAATTTCCATGGGCAAATTCAGTTGTTGTTGTGAGTAAGCTAAGCTTTCTCCTGTTTTGTATAATTGGAAGACCAAACAGTATCTATTTATTTAAAACTCTTAAGCCCTAACGTGGATCATGACATGGTGGATGTGATGGGGACTGCAGGCTGAATTTGAATCTCACAACCCTAAACCCCAAGAAGCTCGGCTCAATTATCTCAATTTCCAGTCCATTTGTCAAGCCTAAAGTCGAAAAGAAGGAGAAGAAAAAAAAGCTCATAAATGGCGTCTTCATATTCGAAAGAACGTGTCGAATTCATATTCGCCAACCTACACTATAGCCGTCAACAATGGGACCCAAAGAACAGCGACCCCATCCATGATGGGACTAAACGACCAACCGCTACAAATAACGGCAAAACGCACACGTGGCAAACACTTGGGTGGCATAATAATGTTCGAAAAATCAAAGGTTAATCCTCTTATCCTAAACAGACAAATTCACTTTGAATTGATATAATATTATTTTGTTATTCTCAATTAATAATACAATGGTACGTTGAAAAGTTATTTCACATATTACTACGTTATTGGTTAAAAATAACAGAATGTATTATTTCCATTGTGAAAGTCTTTATTCCTCCTAACCCATTTGGACTGCCATCATTTTCCCGTCATCATTCTCATGCACGCGAACCTCATGGCGATGACTTCAAAATCAAACACACAAAAAGACATTGATTTTTTATCTCTTAAATCAAAATCGCACTCTCAGCAGCGAGTTCAGACTGCTTTTTTTTATATCTCCCACTTGATTAATAATTATCTTCAATTTTATTTTATTATAATATGTGGTTAGTATAGAACATACCTTTCCTTTCATTATCATTTTATTATTTTCTCTCCTTAATCACTCCCTAATTTGAATTAACAATGCTAATAATATACTATTCCTCAAAGATGATGATGATAACACACTATTCTAAGCTTTTATACTAAGTGGTAGGCAAAGGGACACATTTCTTTTGAGTAAATAAACATAAGCTCCAAAAAGGCAAACCAAACTGAGCTCGATTTAATGCTTTTATCACAAATTTTACAAGCTGAGCCTGAAGCTACTCCGAAACATAGATATTTACAAGTTTTCGATTTTGTTGTTGTTGTTGTTGTTGTGTTTTACTCCTACATGGCCATGGGGGGTGATGATGTGGGAGCATTTTATAATGACACGTCTGACGCTCGTGCAGCGACGTTGCCGGATCTCGGTTGCCGTAGAAGCTCTGTCAATGTCTCCGCCTGTCCCCAAAAAAACACAAAACGACAAACAAAAACAATTTCCATCAGACCCAATTATACGATATAAAAAAAAACCAATCCACCTAAACCCCAAAAATAAATACAAATATAATGGCTGAGCGAGCACCCCACCGACAAAAATGACATTACTAGCCTTCATCTAAATGCATAATGCCATAATCGGGCGAAAACTTATGCTCCCACATACTATGCAGAGGAGCGCCCCATTTATTAAAAAAAATGGAGTGCTTCCAAAAAACCTGGGCTCTTATCTTGTTCTATTTTTATAAATATTTAAAAAAAAAAGAAAAAAGAAAAAGGAATGGCAGCGCTACATGGCCCGAAATTATGCAAGCCGACAGGCGTAGCAAAACAGAGTTTTCTTCTTCCCAACCCCACAAACAAAAGAACCCATTAATTGGAGAATATTTTCAAAAAAGGCCACACCACGTCATCAAGCTTGGTCCTCGACCAGTGGACCGGCTTGACCAAAGAAAAAGAAAGGAAGGATTATTATTTTGCAGCCGGAAAATGCTCACCTTTTGCTTGGCGCGATTTGTGCCGGACTGTGACAAGGCCACAAGGGGAGGAATCGCTCCTTCGCGGGCCACCAAATTACGGTGCACCGCACTGTTCTCGCAAATCTGAAGCAATATTGCCACCGAAATCTCCTTCTGCCTCTGCGACCCCACCTCTATAATCTCCACCAGCACCGGAATTCCTCCTTCTTCGACCAACGCCGCACGAGCCTCCGGCACCGAAACAAGAACGCTCAGGACGTACGCTGATTTATCCACCATGTTCGACCCGAAATCCGCCATCAATTCCACCAACGGCTTCATGATTCCCGATTGGACGGCTCTGATCTTGTTCTCCTTCACGGAGCACAGCGAGTACAGAGCCGTCGAGGCGTCCTTCTTCCCGCGAAAACCTCCGCTCTCGAGAAGATTTACCAGCAGCGGAATCGCTCCTGACCGTCCAATTGCGACTTTGTTTTCTTCGATTTGCGATAGGCGGAGAAGAGCGCAAGCTGCGTTCTCTTTGGCCGTCGGCGTTCCTGTCTTTAGCGATCGTACCAAAGGCTTGATTGCTCCGGACGAAGCTATGAGCTCCTTGTTCTCGTCGCAGAGCGAAAGGTTCAGAATCGCCGTGACGCCGTACTCTTGTAGCTGGAGATCGGAACACGATAAGAGCGAAACCAACGGCTTAATCGCGCCTGCTCTGGCGATTTTGAGCCGGTTTTCGGACTTGTTCTTGGCGAGGAGCCTGATCTCCATGGCCGCCTGCTTCTGCTCCTCAATCGAACCGGCCTCGAGGTCGGCGATGAGTTGGCGAATCAGATCGTCGGAGTTGTCCGAAGTGCAAGAAATCAGAAGCCGACGGCTTTGAGACGACGCCGTTTGAAACTCTCCGGATGTGTCGCTGTTACAATCACTGAAAGCAGAGGAGTGTTCGCCGTTACTCAGATCACTGAAATTCCTTCCAAGGTAACTGAAATCCGCCGGATTTTCCATATCCATGGCCAAAATTGTCAGCCCTCACTGCATCCAATACTCTCCCGAAACAATTCAGAATGAACGAAATTTCGGGTTTGCTTGGTCCGAAAGTGAGAGATTATTCGGGTTGTGGTTCTGCTTTTGTGGCTTTGGGCTGGGCTCTTTCTGAAAAGAAAGGGGAGATGGAGGCGAAGATATAAGAGGACTGCGAGAGGTAACACGTGGACGAAGTCCTTGAGGCTCTCGCTGACACGTGCGCCTTCACTGGGAGGGAACCAAAAATCCCAGTCCGGGCAAGAACACGTACGAAGCGTCGCTTTAGACGCGTGCGTGGAAGGTTCGCTATTCGATAAAAGTTTCGAAGCTGGTGAACTCCTTCCTTCTCTTTTTATCACATTTATATGCTTTTTTGTTCTTACAAAAATAAATAATAAAAAAACAAAAAGAAAACTGAAAGGTTTAATTCCGGTACAGCAAATGATGTGCTGCTTTATGGTACGTTTGTGTGCTAGTTTTTGCCACGTAGCACATGAATAGAAGAACTTATTTGTTTATTTTGAGCTTGTTGGGCTGCACATGGTTTGATCCAAAATGTGCATCCATACAGGAGAGGAAGTCAGGCCCGCCCATAGCGTGTGAGGCAATATTCATTATTTTTGGTTTTTTTTTTAATAATCACAAAACGCCTTTAAGGTTCACGGATTGTAAACTTGAAGGGCGTTTTGTGATAAAAATTATTATTTTATCTAAATAAATAAATACTAAGAGAAGAAAAAAAACAGTCTCTAAGATATTTCTCCTGGTAATGCTGGCTGTGTGATATGGGATTTGTGTAAATATTTGTTTAAGTTAAAAAAAATCAGCAGAGTACACTTGGACTAAACCAAAGGAACCACATTAGTAATTATATGAATGCTTTTGTTTATATGTTACAATCAAGTACGTAGTTGAGCGATTTGGAGAACTGAATTAGGGATTATGAATGCGACATCTAAATTAACAATTAAAATAATTTAATTGGAAGGCACATAATCAGAGCATGTCAACAAGTGCTGATGTACATACAGATGGAGCAAAAATTTTAAAAAAAACTCCAATCAAAAAATTTAATAGAAAAAAAGCGATAGTATTTTATTGATAGAAGGACAAATAACTAGTAAAAAAACCGGGCTATGCCCATCTCTTTTATTCCTTCATGGGGTGTGTTGTTTTTATGCTGCGGAAAATGGTCCCGAAGGGCTTGTTTTGTGCCTTTGTTTGTTTGTTTGGTTTTCATATACTTCTTTTATGTGGCAGGAAAAAGGGAAATCAGAAATGAAAGTTTAAATGGTGGAATTATTTATACATGCTGCCAGCATTCATAAGTCTGCAAGCAAGCAGCCAGCCAACTGATACTGGTTGCCTCGTTAGATTAGGATTCTGATTGGAACATTTGTGTTTTACCCATCAAATCATCATGCTCGGGTAACCAGTTTCATAATTTTGTATAGGATTGGCACTTGGCTGCCTGCCTGCATGATGCAACCAACTAAGCATGTTTACCTAACCCATGAGAAGATATCAAGATTATTTGATACATTAAAAAAAAAAGAGAATAGTTTTTGGTAAAAGCAGTTGACATTTAACAAGCTTATGATGCAGCCAAAAGAGAAGAAAAATTGTTTTTGCAAACTCTTCTTCTTACCTCAGCCAATTACAGTTGACTTAAGCTCTACTGTCGTATGAATCTGATTCCCGGTACAAAAATCACAGACGTGTGTGCTTAACTCAATGGAAGGAGATTGTGGTTTTTTGGTTTTTGGGTCCTCAATTTCCACCGACGGCTAAATTGTCTGGATTACACATTTTTCAACAAGTGCTTTCATAGCTCAGTTGGTTAGAGCACCCGTTTAGTAAGCGGGAGGTCTTGAGTTCAACTCTCAATGAAAGCAAATTGTTTCATATTTTCTATTTTTCCACTTTTGCCACGCCTTGTAAATTGTACCATTATATACTTATTGAATGAGAAAGTTAACAATAGTGCTTTCATAGCTCAGTTGGTTAGAGCACCCGTTTAGTAAGCGGGAGGTCTTGAGTTCAACTCTCAATGAAAGCAAATTATTTCATATTTTCTATTTTTCCACTTTTGCTACGCCTTGTAGATTGTACCATTATATAATTATTGAACGAGAAAGTTAACAACAGTGCTTTCATAGCTCAGTTGGTTAGAGCACCCGTTTAGTAAGCGGGAGGTCTTGAGTTCAACTCTCAATGAAAGCAATTTATTTATTTTTGGGTTTTTGGATAACTCAGTTTTCCTTGATGTGCGTATAATCCACCAGGCAATATCGTTTTCCCCACGCACAAGAAGCGTTTTTTCCTGATCCGCCAAAAAAACCTACAAATAAAAAAGGGTTTTACATAAACCCCAGCCAGCCCCTCTCTCTCTGAAACCCTCCCAAAAGTTTCTTTTGCTCTCTGCAAGTCTCGCTAAATATGTCGACCAAAGGCCCTGCTCTCTTCTCCAACATTGGCAAGAAAGCCACAGGTCTCTCTCTCAGTCTTTGTTCAGTGGATTTTGAATTTCTTTTTGAATTTTTACTTTATTTTTCTTACGGGTCTGTTATTTGTTTCTTCGTTTGCAGACTTGCTTAACAAGGACTATAGCACTGACCAGAAGATCAACATCACCACTAACACTGAGACTGGAGTTGTAAGCTCGTCCCCATTCACTCATCTGATCCCATCTCTTGTTTTCCAAAATAACAATTTCAACTGTTCTTGTGATTTTTGGTTTTCCAATGATTGTTCCAGTTTGCTCTCTGTTACGTTATGTTGTGTTTTTCAATTTAAACAATCAGTTGTGTGTTGGTTGGATTTTGTTTTCCATTGTTTCTTTATCTTTTGTAATGGGCAAATCTTTCTTGAGTCACTACACAGTGGATTGGAGTGCAGAAATTGGATTTTCACAGTTGCATACTTTGCTTTTTTCCCCTCTATCTTCTTCGAAGAATAAAAGTACAGTATCTTGAAATATATATGTAAAATATTCTGAGCTGTGGTTCTTGAATTTATGAGTTTCAAGTCACGCAACTCGTAAATAGCTGCTTAGTGCTTCACTGTCTTGGTTATGAATTAAGCAGGGATGCGTTTCTTATGATGGCTGCTTCTTTCCATTATTGATTGCTTTGTGTGCTTTTCTTCAAGGTTTAAGCAGTTAGATATGATAAATTTATCTCTTTTATTTCAGACCCTCAACTCTGGTTTGGTGAAGAAAGGAGGTCTCTCTTGTGGGGATGTAGCAGCACAATACAAATACAAGAACGCTGCACTTAATGTCAAAGCTGATACAGAATCAAATGTAGTCACTGGCCTTCCATTTCCCTTCCGAATTTCGAATTATGATAATATCTAACGCTAGTCTCTTTGTCGAGCAGATCTCAACAATGCTTACGATCACAGACATCCTGCCTTCTACAAAAACCATTGCTTCAATAAAACTCCCTGATTACAAATCTGGCAAGGTATTAACTTTTCTTAGCCCGTGAAGTGCGCATGAATTTACAATTATCACTGCAACTGATAGCCATATATATATATTGCAGTTGGAAGTGCAGTATCTTCATGAACATGCATCTTTTACAACAGCTGTTGGTCTGAACGGTTCCCCTGCTGTTGACGTTTCGGCAACCCTTGGTACCCCTAGCATTGCTTTCGGAGCAGAAGCTAGTTACTTGACAAGTTCCAGAGTGTTTGCAAAGTATAATGCTGGTGTCAGCTTGACAAAACAAAATTCCTCTGCTTCAGTAATTCTGTAAGTTCGTCATTTGTAGACATTCTGAAATGATAGAGAATTTCTTCTTATTCATACGTACGACAGAATGTTATGGTGAGGGTGCTTTTGTTGTGCAGTTAGTAATTGTTTTCTTTTCATTTTGAAGTGCTGACAAAGGAGACTCGCTAAGGGGGTCATACTTGCATCATCTAAGTAAGCTGAATGGAGGAGCTGTTGTGGGAGAGGTAAACAGAAGGTTCTCCACAAATGAGAACACATTGACAGTGGGATGTTCATATGTGGTTGACCCTGAAACTGTGGTGAAGGCAAGGCTCAACAACCATGGCAATCTTGGGGCTCTTTTACAGCACCAGCTCACCCCCAAATCTTCTTTAACAATCTCCGGTGCCTTTGACACCAAGGCGTTAGAGAAGAACCCGAAGTTTGGCTTGGCACTCTCCCTCAAGCCTTGAGCAGATATATTGATTCAACAACAGAGATATGCAATAGATTAATTACACACAACCTTATTGTTTTTTTTTTCTGGTGCGGTTCAAATGAGAACATCTAATTACATTTGTTATAGGTATTATTATCCCTTTGAATCTTGGTTTTGACAGAAATGTGGGAAGCTTGAGCTTATATGTTTATGTTTGCAATAGGCACTTTCAATTTGCAAAGTGTTTTGACAATGAAACTTTTTCATCTTTACGCCGTTTCTCTCTTTCAACTTGCTTTCAAATTTCTATAGCATGCTTTGAGAAGTATGACATGCGTTTTCTTCCCTCCCTGCACTTTTCTCACCGATCGACAAATATTTTTCTCTTAGACTTAGACATCACCGATTGGTGCAGAGGAGTTTGACAAGTCGTTTTGCTTATAATATTCAAGACAGTTACTGTTGCAATTTTCAATCCTGATGACAATTGTTTTGAAAGCAACAGAAAATATATTATAAACCAATACGTGGCCTGCCATTCTATTTCTTTTTTCACTCGGATTTCAATGGCGTATTTTAGAGTTCGCCTGAGAAGAATTGCTGTATTCAAAATCAATTTCACAATCAGTATCGAAATGAAGTGTTAGATAATTTCTTTCTTCTTTTCTTGTAGCATGTCGATGTAGAATTTTGTACCATTTAATAGAAAATTCCTCAAATTCCTGTAGTATAAGGGTTTTCTTCATTATTGACTTCGGATGTTAACTAACCCGTTTAATTTAGTATCGTCTTAATATAATAAGAAATTGTTCTAAGTTCAATAGCAAACACAGGAAAACCAACTCCTAGATTCACATGAAATAAACAAAGAAAAAAAGAGTTGCAAGTAGCAGTAAATAAGGATTTTAGGTGAACCCAAAAAACAAAATTCTAACCTCTGAACAGATCTCCATTTTTATATGTACAGAAACACAATACAACATGGGTATTAATTTATCAAATCAGGAAGACTAGAGAATAATAGAAGTCACACGCAGAAATTGAGACCTCAGCTCAGACGAACTGAATCAGACCGAAGCATATAACTCTGGCACAAAAGAAAACCACCTGAAGCCACAGCTCCATTTATCAGGCAGTGAAGGGCATTTGGGCAGCCAATGCCAGGTCCTCCTTGAAACCTTGAAATACAGAACCTCCGGCCATGTGTAGCAGCAAACACAGATGAAACCCCGATGCCAAAAGCAATAGAGATGCTCGTAGTTATGAAAACAAACAGACATCAATTTTCTGCACATCATTTCTGGCAAGCTCTCCACCTCAACCCAATTCATTCCTTCACCCAATTCCCAGAGTTTCATGCTCCTTGAAATCCCATTCCTACCAACTCCACCAATCAAATACAGCTTTCCATCTCCTCCATCGCTGAGTAGCCGAACAAACATGAGCTCTCTAGGCAACTCAGTGTTGGGTCTCTCCCACTTACCGCTTTCCAAAACAAAGCACGCTACAGAGAATGGCTCCGGGGTCACAAAATACAAAGACCCTTTATAGTAAACAGCTTGTTGATGATAATTGTCACTGAGAATTGGCTTGAAACCATTGAATTTTCGCCAAAATTGAACCTTCGAATCATAAACAAAAGTGTTTTTGGTACGAGAACCAGAAGAGACCATGAAAAGATTGTACCCAACAGGCGTGGAAACCAAAGAAAACAGCTCAAAAGCAAAAGGGTAAGCAGGGAATTCGATCACTCTTGAACACTTGGTCAAAAGATTGAAGACAAGAAAGGAATTGGAGAGAGAGAAACAGAGCAACCCATTGGAGGTAGAGAGCAGAGAGGCTTGCCCTGCAGCGCAGGGCAGCAAGGCAGAGAGAGACAGAGCAAAGTTGCGCCAAGCACCAAGGGCAGAGTCATAGAAAGCGAAGTGGTTGTAACACTGAGGGTGAGAGAGCAAGAGGAAAGAAGAGAAGGATGAAGAAGACGAGTGCTTGGAGATGAAAGAGGGAGAGAATAACAGAGACTTGAAGTGCTTACAAGTCGATCTAAGATTCATGAAGTTTTTGAGAGGTAGAAAAGAGAGAATACGCTCGAGGAGTTCCTGCGGTAGCTTGCTCCATAATCCGGCGTCCATCTCCGGTGGGCTCATTGGAGACTTGGAGATGGTGATGGGTTGGTCATTTGGGTTTGCCTGAGATCGAAGGCTGTTTGCTCTGATGCGTCGTCCTTTCATCTGAAAGAGGGCATTTGGGACTTCGGACATAGACTCCATGTACTTGAAGCTACAGGCTGATGATAAATACGAATTGATAAAAAGCATGGACTGTTGACCAAAAAAATAAAAAGAAATAAAAACATTGACTTACGCTCTAATTAATTGTTTATTTATTTATAATCCACAGATAATCTAGTGTTAGCTTATTAATTATCCCCACGTCTCGCTTAAGATCTTACATTGCCTTTTTTGTTTTGTATTTTTTGAGAGTTAGGGCTGATCGTTTTGAGTTGGAAAAGGGAAAAGGCATGTTCACCCAAAAAAAAGGAAAAAAGGCATGTGTCTCCTAGTTTCGTTGGGAGACAAGCCCCAATAATAATAATAATAATATATAAAAAATTATAGAAGTCCTTAACCCACAAGGAAAGAAGACAGCAATATAAACACATTCAGTCATTGATTCACCACTATGATTGTTGTTGGCTTCCGTAAGTAGTTCAATTCGACGTCTTCTTTTTTCTACACCTGCATCCTTTTTTCCTCGCCTGATTCTTATTCTGTCGCCATAGAGGATGAAGATGAAGCGAAAGAGAGAGCCAGTAAGCTTTCTTACTGTGGAACCCGAGTGCTGCCCCGAGGCCGTTCAGTTGTGGGGGAATGCTAATAATACAAGGCGTCAACAATCTAATTTGACTGAAAAGGCAAGAAAGCACCTCTCTGCCATGGGCTGGAAGTTTTGGTACACACTGCTTAAGCATGGCAAGACTGAGTTGCGTTACGAGTCTCCAACCGGAAAACTCTACAACTCGCTACGAACGGCTTGCAAAGCCTACATGAAATCCCAAGGTGGAGGAGGAGTGTTTTCCGAAAGCATTGGTTCGAATTCCGTGGGGTGCTCTTCTAGTAAGGTTACACCGCAATCATCAATGAAAAGATTACAAAAGAGAAAAGTCGATGAATCATTTAAAATTGATGATCAAAGTCCCAAGCCAAAACGAGGTAAGATTCTTGCGGATTTGAAAAGACTAAGAGATCAGAAGAAAGCTAATAGTCAGCAGGATGATATATCCACTGTGTGTCAAAATGATAATCAGAGTGATGATATATGCACTGTGTGTCATTATGGGGGTGAGCTGATCCTGTGTGATAAGTGTCCCTCTGCATTCCATACTAGTTGTCTTGGGCTGAATGAACTGGCAGATGGCGATTGGTTATGCCCATCATGTTGTTGTGGGATGTGCGGGCATGGAAAATTTGAAGAAGGCAGCAGTGAAAAGCCTAAGGATGATATGGATAATAGTATGCTGATATGCAACCAATGTGAGCATAAATATCACTTTGGGTGCCTGAAGAATGCAGGGGTTGTGAAATTGAAATGGGATTCTAAGGGAAATTGGTTTTGCAGCAGAAATTGTGAAGACATATTTTTGAGCCTCAACGAGATTTTGGGAAAACCGATTCTGGTGGGTCCTGACAATCTTACTTGGACATTGTTGAAGCCATCTTCCACTCATTCTGATATGGAGGACTTCACAGAAAATTACAGAAAACTCAATTTGGCTCTGAGTGTGATGCATGAGTGTTTTGAGCCTTCTAGGGACCCTTACACCACAAGGGACATTGTTGAGGATATTATTTTCAACAGAGAGTCAGAGCTGAGCCGCTTGAATTTCAAAAGGTTTTACACAATTGTTTTGGAGAGAGATGAGGAATTGATTAGTGTGGCCACTGTAAGGATCTACGTGGAGGTTGCAGAAGTACCTCTTGTTGCCACTAGGTTCCATTATCGTAGACTCGGAATGTGCGGTATTTTGATGAAGGAGCTTGAGAAACAGCTCATGAAGATGGGAGTTTGGAGGTTGACTTTGCCTTCTGCTCCAAGCGCACTCCATACATGGACCACTTCATTTGGGTTTTCAAAAATGAAGGCGGATGAGAGGTTGCAGTTTCTGAGTTATACTTTATTGGATTTCCAGGGTACTATCATGTGCCATAAACTCTTGAGACAGAGCGATACTGGCGGATCGACCAGTGCCAACTCTACAGTAACTCAGGCAGAAGACAAACAGCTAGAGACTGGAGCTTTAGACCATGACCACAAGTTTTTGATTGATGATGTTGATAGCATGTTGTTGGACATTAAGGACCCAGGTTTCTTATCATGGCACATGGGTTTAGGCTGATTCCAGAATCTTATAAGGGTAGGTACAATTTTTGACAGAGTTCCTAAAGTAATATTACATATCAACTTGTATTTTGTTCAGAATTGAGTTCCCATGAATCATCAGTTTTTTTGTCTTTTTAATTCATCAGCGTACCAAATTTTCCATCAATTTTGCTCTTTATTTTACATTAAATGGGTTTACATTTACATGCATATGCAGGCAGCAAAAACATAAAATGCAAGGATTATTATTGTGCCTATCAAGTAAAGCCTTTTGGATCTTAAAGCAAAACAGAAAACTCCAGGCTATGACAAAGATGCTTTACCTAGCAGAAATGAGGGTCAGATTCTAGAATATAACAACAGTGCATGCTAGTCACTCCAATTATCCTCGTCCTTGGGTCCTTCATCCTGCAATTCCATAAATGTATAAGATAGAAGCCACTTGCCAACTAATAAGGTTAGTTACACAAAATCCATGAAATCATCAGGTGTACCACCTCATCGGAAACTGATCTGGATGGCGACCAGACTAGAATTTGTCTATCATTGCCACCGGTGTACAATTCCTACGATGAAAGACATGAATTAAAATTCATCCAGGATTGGAAATCATGACTTCGTCAATATGGCACACCAAGTGAGAGAATTCAGTCGTGTTCTGTAAACCAAGGGTGTGAATCCATTTTTGCCATTATTGTTGAGTATATGCTAGTAAGTCAATTCTATCAGCTCATTTCATAATATGTAAGGTTTACATGATTGCATTCTCACCTGTAGCCAAGTTCTACATCTTTTTTTTATTTATCGGAAACTCCAAATAAGTTTTACAGGTGCATTTATTAATAATCCATAGATAGCAGGATGAACTCACTAAATAGATTAATTGAAGACAAACTTCAACATGCTTTGTAATTCATAAATCTGATCTTAGAACAGTTGGAAAAGGGTTTTACAACTCCCACTAAATGGCATGGAAGTTTGGAAGGACTGAATGAAAAATTCACTGCGAATTTTAGTTTTAAAGGCATTGTTTGGACAAGCATAAAGAAAAAGCCTAAATATTTTTTGAAGAGGATTAAGCTCGTACCTGATCCTGCAAACTAAACCAGCAACAGTTCACATGTTCATAGTGACCACGAAATGTCAGGGATGTTTTACCTGACCACATATCGAATGCCTGGAAAAATCCGGAAGTCAAACTTTGAAGAAAGAAGAAATCGGTGTATTTTAATTTAAAATATTCAAACCTACAAAACGAATGCATTACCTTTACAGCTGTCATGCATGGTACAAAAACAAGAGCCAAATTCTGACTTGTGGCTAACTGTATGGGCTTGCTGGTTTGCAGACGCACAGTTTCAAAGTTCACCAAAGTATTGCAGCCAGATTCTACATCCCACAACCTTAATCTTGAATCAGAACCTGAAATTCAAAAGCTTGATCAATGATATAGGCATTGTTATACTGATTTTTCTGTTGAAATTTACACCGTATCAATCGATTAAAAAAAACATCTAAACAGGAGAAAAGGAAGAACCCAATCACACTACACTGATTTATGCACGACAGGAATGATCCAAAAATTTAAAAGAAAACAAAGGTCAGAACCCCAAGGCATACATTTAAAATGCAATAATTCCGTGAAAATTTCATCCCTCACCAGATTCAAGTACATTTGTTAATTTGTAATAATTTTTAAGGTTGCAACTGTGGCTTGGCAGTCACCTGCAATATTATTGTAGTATTTACATTATATTTAAAACAGTAAAGAATGAACCTAAACCACTATAGTTATTCTAAAATTAATTCCATTAAAGTGATTGGAATATAGGTAGCCAAATTCAGTGGATTCAATCTTAAGTATAACAAAATTCCAAAACTAAAAAACTCAACCTGCACTTAAGAGATACATGCCGTCTTCAGTAACTTTTAGCCCAGTAACAGCACCATAATGAGCAGTCGCACGATCCTGACTAGACAACATCCCTGGATGTAATCTTTGCTTCAGAGATCCCTTTACTGGAATTTTACCGATAGGTGATTGCTTTGCATTCATGAGTTTCATTTGTGGTGTCCGTGCTTTTGCAAATGAACTTTGACTTGCTGACAAGGACTTAGCTGTTGAACCCTGAGTGGGACACAAAACCAAATATTATCAGTAGAAGGGCAACTGTCGACATAATAACTTTCTAAAGTTAAATTTGCACTCTCTCTCACTAATTACAAGCTTCAATTACAGACATCAACAATAATGTAATGACATTAAAAAAGGAAAAACATAAAGGAATTCAGGACTTATGCAAGAAAAAGAATCACACAAATATACACGCTGTAGTCGATAGTGTATATCTCATCATATTTTTAGTTGATCCATGAGAACACCAACACATTTAGCTGTGTTCATATTGAATAAAATGGAGAAAAATAACGTAGATGGTGTTGATGCTCAAAATGGTTGGGCCAAGATTGAGTCCAACTTAGTGATGAGATGTGATGGATGATGAATGAAGGTGAGGACATAAATTGGTTTCACTATCTCTTGCCGTTCGGCAAGAGATAGCTGGGAGAGGGTCAACAGATGGAATATAAAAAAAGTACATAAAAACTGCATACAACGCCAAATGGTACATGCTCCATTAAGCCACCAAGGTAACAAAGAGGAAATAGAATTCCCGAAAGACACATGTAGAATCATTTCAGATAGTTAGTGGTATATGCTATGTATAACTGTAAAAGAAACACAATAAACATAAAAGTTCACAAAGTGAGTGATATGTTGAAAACATATGCTTTGGTGCAGCAAAGAAAAGAAGAAAACCTTAATCATGGTAGAGCGTTTCAAGATGGGTGGACGTCTCCCAAGCTGAGACTGGGACTGATCTAAAACAAGAAAACATCCAGCACGTCTAATGTCCCAAAAACGTATTGCACCGTCACATCCACCTGTAACCAAAACCCACTCACTAGAAGTAGACCATTCCACCGTCATTACACCATCTGCCATCATGAAAAGAAATATACACTTATGACCCTCTAAATGCACGAAACTTTTCTTCTAGGGTATAAGTTAAACCAAATTAAGGAAAGTAAAAACAATTATACCTTTGTGCATACAAAGTAGAGAACCCAAAAGAAGAATGTCAATTTTACAAGAGTTGAAACCTAGCTTTAAGATACTATGGCTCAAGAACTGTAATTTATGCTGAGCTCCTAGAACTGCATTCTACGAACTCACCAACATGATGTATTCTAGATTGCTTGCTGCCCCTTCCACATGTCAGACCAGCCTACTATACAGGGCAGCACTATAAGCAGGGTTCACCCAAATATATATATATATATATATATATATATATATATTGGAAAACCAAGTACTCAAAATCATCAAAAGAAGCGTGTTGTGATCGTCCAGCCAAACTATAGAAAACCCTTCCTTACATTTTGCCAATTTCTCAGACCATTTTGCAAATGCTTATGTGTTGACACAAGTAAGATATGAAGTTGGAATTTTGAAAACACTGATTCAGCAGAAGAAAAGGAAAGAAAAACTAAAAACAAAAAGTAGATGAATTGTGTGTATTAAGCACATACCACGGTGACCAGACAAGGTGTGAGCAAAAGCTCCAGAGGCAATATCACAGAGACGAACTTGAACATCTTCAGTCCCAGCAGCAATGAGCATGTGCGAAGTTGCCAAGGGGGACATGGCAGTCCTATAAACCTTTCCAGGCATTTTAAAGTCCATCACCACCTGCGTCGTATTCGTATCCCAAACATTAATGTGATGGTCATACGAACCCGTAACAAATAGTCCCGTGTCCACCGGATACCATATGGCCGAGGACACCGCATACTTGTGCCCCTGCTCGTGCTGCTTATCCACCATGAACAAGCACTTGTGCTTTCTGATAACGCCGCCTCCTTCATAATCAGTCCCCCGCTGAATATCAAACACCGCCGCCGAAGCATCCGAAGCACCGGATAACAAGTACCGGCCCTCAGTCAAATCAACCTGAGCAACAAGACGCTTCATTTTCATCGCTATGTCGATTTATGCAAGCAAAATGCGATCGATGGTAGAAGAAAGGGAGTGTTTGGGTACCTGGAGAGAGTTGACGGAGCCTCGGTGAGGGGAGACGATGTCTTTGCGGTTCGACAGTTGGAGCGTTTGGATCCGATTTGACTTAATCCGATTCGAGAACGAATTTGGGCGAAGCTTGCCCGCTTCTCTGTCTCCGATTTCCCGCCACATTTTCGGAGCATCTTCTTCAACCCAAAGCAAAGCTAAACTTGCACACTTCTCACTCCCAAAATTCCCAGACAGAAACTAGACAGATTTCTCTCTCTCTCTCTCTCTCTCAATCTTTGCCTGATTTTCCTACTGATCGACTCGGACGGACTCGGATAGATTACTGACCGGGTTCGGGTTCGGGTTGCGTCAAAATCATATCCACAATCTACAAGACTACAACTCAAGAATATGGACATTGGACATGGATCTCGGTGAGGGATAAGCAAAAAATCTGCCCTCGTTAATTCATCAAGAATTCTATAGTGAGGGCCTAGGCCTTAAGTGAGGGGCACTATTTTTTAACCGTTAGATTAATTTGGTTAGCCGTTCAATCAATTAAATTAATCTAATCTAACGATTAAAAATAAAATATCACCTAAGAGTCATATATTACATCATCACGACAGAATGACTCATTAATTCATACAGGGATAAGAAAAAGCAAGAATTGTAAGAAATCTCTGATAATGGGTTGGACCGTCATATAACATTGGGTTGGCCCAGTATGACTGTATTGTGGACTGAGGCCTAAACATAACTAAGTCCTCGTGAATTTTTCAATAATAGATATTCTCACACTTGATAAAATGAAAATGAACAAGGAATCAATTAATCCACGGGGTCATAAAACACGGTGTGGCATGAAAACCAGCATTAATACTAATTAATATTCACTAACCATGCATGCATGCAGACTCATACAGACAATTAATATGACCACGCTTACGGCCATGATCAGAGGTAAACATCAAATATTTAAGCAAAGGAGGAGGAGGACAAATCACAAGTAGTAGGGCAAAAGCAAATATTTAAGCAAAGGAAGAGGAACAGGAAGGAGGAGGACAAGTCACATCACAAGTAGCAGGGCATAGTAGTGGATTGGAAATTGGAAGAATCAAGAAGGATGGAAACCTGGCTGACGGGAATAGTTATAGGCGTGTTTGTGTTTCTGGTGTTGTTGGCCTTTATGATTACGTTTATACGTTATATCTTGCCAAGAATTCATAACTAAATGAGGGGCTTTATATTCTTGTAATAAATTGATTATTTGACACTACTTTATATTTATATATCACCTACATACAGTTCTTCGAAAGATTTGTTTCGATTCACATTTTTTTTCCCTTTTTTTTACCGGTAATTTTAGCGTTAGCATTGTGTTACATTCCACTCATGTTATAAGACCACTAGTGCTTTTGTTAATGAAGCAGATAATGCGTGCCAAGGGAGGAGGTTAGATTTTTTTTATTTTATTTTTTTGAAGTCAGCTATTACTTACTTTTATTTTATTTTTCTTAAATAAAAAATTAAAATTGGTTGTTGTATATTGAGAGTTTCATTAAAACACTTAAAATATGAGCTGAAATTATAAAAAAATCCAACACCAAAAACACTTTATAAACACACCCAAAAAATATACAATTATTGACTTTGGGATTGATTTTGAGTGTATTTCTATATTTAAATAGTGTTTGAGTTTTTTTATAAATACATATCTAGAATTAGTTTTATTTATAAATTTGTATTGTATATTTGGTAAGCAATAATTGAAGGCATCAGCCAAATTGTGAAATTGTGAGATTGTGAGAGTGAGAATATGAATATGATTTGGGAAGGACGTGAGGAGGTGGAAGTGGGACTCCCCGAAGAAAAGCTGCAAAGCAAAGGGGAGAACTGGGAAGGGGGACACTCTCTGCTCAATGTGTCAGAAGCCCATTTTCAGAAAAGTTGCAAAACGACACCAAAACCATCACTGCACTCTGCTCCCTCCCCATGGATCTCATATGAGAGGAAAAAAGGTAGGCCCATCACGTGTTCTATTTTACATTTTTTTTTAAATAATAAAAGTAATTTCATGTGATTTTACAGTGTGAAGATTTGGAGTGACTATAGAGTGACATCGTAATAATACAATTATGTGGTACGACTTGTCTTCGTGTTATAAATGCTGAAAAATATCAACTTTCTCGTTCACCTATATAATAATGAGTGGTGATTTCTCTGCTTCTTTTTCTCTTATTTTATTCTCTTACATTCTTTTTTTATAACTAAAAAAAGAGTGTAAGTGGATAAAATAGGAGTGGGAAAATCATTGTCCATAATAATTTCTCAAAGAGGTGGTCTGTGTTTTGGTGTTGCTAATAATGCGATAATAAAGCAAGAATAAGATGCGCCAATCTCGTTGCATGGTGTGTTTTATCTTTGGAATATTAGACCATTGGAGCATTGGGGTCTGTTTAATTTGTTCTTCTTGAGCAACGTGCCTGTGCGATGCCGGAGAGGCAAAATATAAAATTTTTAAACCTCAAAAGAAAAAGACTTAAAAAGGCTATCTATATCTATGTGATGGTACCATGATGTCCTACTTTTGCTTAATCTATTGCTTAATCTATGTTAAATGAACCATAATATTTCAAACTTCCAGTAACTTTTAACCTCCAAAAAAAGAAATCTGAATAAACAAATGCAGAGGCCTTGAACATGATATCATGTTAGCTGAATAAACAAATGAAGAGGCTAACCAGCAAGCCAAGTCAGCAACTCATAACCACAACACATGCTCTAGCAGATGTCAAAACACAACCAAGCCAATCCAGCTATTTTGAATTCAAAATGCTGCTACTTTTTTTTCTTGGATTTGTAGTGATATGGGCACCTTTGTCTCTTCGGCCAATGTGGTCCCTTTTATACAAGCAAAGACTTTGCTTACAATTATATCTGTGTCCATACAAGGAAGGAGATTATTTCTGAAGCAACAGCTATTCTCTACTTTCTTTTTCTGCCATATATTTCAAAATCCACCACAAAATTTTCTTTTCCCACCCAATAGTTATATTATGTTATTCAAAGAACATCACTTGATTAGCTAATTTATAGTTTACCATAATATTTTTTAGACTGCAAATGCTAAACACAAACACTAATTAGCCTATCCCACTAGCAATGCCTGAGGCCTGCAAGTCTGCAACAACTTTTGCCTAGGCAGGCAAAGCTTTCTGTACCAAGCAAAGTCAGCTGATAGAAAAAGACCAAAACATCAAATATCAGATCATTGAATCCAGCTTATTATATTTGTTTTTCTTTCCATCGTCACACACTCGGCATTGGGTTTATTGAACCTGAGAAAACGAAAAGATTCCAAATTCTGAAAAACCAGAAAACCGAGACTTGAACTGAGAGGTAGCTTTCAAGCTTTCGACAACTGCTACAGATCACGTTTTGGATTGCGTTTTTCTTTCTGTCTGGGTAGGTTAAAACAACTTTGTTATCTTTGTTTGTCTTGCACTTTTCAACTTCCTCGACCTGATTGTCTTCTGCTTATTTCTCTATTTCAAAGACTCAGTCTTTTGCCTCCAAATATGTCCCCATAGAGTGTCTTTTTCTGTGTTTGTTTGTTATTATAATACTTTGATTTTGCTGGGTTTTGTTGTTCGGTAAGGCCTATGCTGCTTTGGGGATCTACGTTGTTTCTTTGTGTTTTTTGACCATTGTTTAATCCGCACAACTCATTACGTATTACCGTTGTTGCTTGCGTTGATTTTGTTTCTTCAATAATAGCAGCGAACTGGATGTTGGGTTAATGATAATGACATGTTTGTACAACTCATTTCTAGGCGGACACACGTGAAACAAATCACAAAGAAGTGATTTTGTTGCCTCAGATTTTCTGGGTGAAATCACCACTATCCAAGTTCATCTTTGGACAAGATGCTGTGTGCTTGTTCAGGAGAGCAATTCAAATTCGAAGAGCCAGAGCCACCTCACTCGCCGGAGTCACTTGCCACGAGGGACTTTTCGGCCAGTGGTCTTTCGTCGAGGACCGGAGACTGGGAGTCAAAATTTGAAGACATCCAAGTAGATGAAGCTGAATCCACTCTAAAAGAAGCTCTATCTTTGAACTATGAGGTGGGTCTTCTTGTTTTCTGAAGTAAATTTGATTACATGAAACTAGCTTGTTCATACAATTGGCCTCTTCGTTCTACAGAATTTTGATATTTCCCTTCTGAATGACCTTCAGGAAGCCAGGGCCTTGCTGGGGAGGCTTGAATTCCAAAGAGGGAATTTTGATGCTGCCCTTCAGGTGTTTCAAGGTATTGACATTAGAAGTTTAACTCCAAGGATGGCCAAGGCCATTGTTGAGAGAATTAGGCAGAAAAAACCACGTCCTAAAGGCGGTCATGTGCTTCCCAGTGTCATGTCTATGCACTCTGTGAGCCTACTTATTGAAGCTATATTGCTTAAGGCAAGATCACTGGGGGAACTTGGAAGATTTATAGGTATTGCATACTCTTTCATGGTTGCTTATGTGTTCTTTTAATAATTGATAGGAAGTTTTTTTTTTTCCTTCTTTGGAGCATAATTCAGCTTTTGATTGAGATTGGTAGATGGCATTGGCATCAAATTCTCCAGTGAATTAGATTGCATTGAGATTGGCATATTGAGTTCTTTTGATTTGTATTATTAGTTTGGAAGTTCTCATACTTTCTTATTCATCAGAGGCTGCAAAGGAGTGCAAAGTTATTCTTGATACAGTTGAGTCGGCACTACCTAATGGAATGCTTGATGACATCTGTGAGGACTGCAAATTGCAGGACATGTTTCACAAAGCACTGGAGTTGCTCCCCAGTTTATGGACAAAGGCAGGCTATCTTGACGAAGCTATTACTGCATATCGCCGGGCTCTAGTCAAGCCATGGAATTTGGAACCTAAGAGGCTGGCTGATGTTCAGAAAAACTTAGCTTGCACGTTACTCTATGGTGGTGTTGAAGCAAGCCTTCCTCCTCAGTTACAAATATGGGGCACAACTATGCCCAAAAATAATACAGAAGAAGCACTTTTGTTGTTGTTAATACTTATGAAAAAGGTGGCTTTGCGCGAGATAAAGTGGGATCCAGAAATTATGGATCATCTGACTTATGCACTTTCTGTTACCGGATTGTTTGAATTATTAGCAGATCATGTGGAGCAAGCACTTCCGGGATTATATAGACGAGCTGAGAGATGGTACTTTCTTGCTCTTTGTTATAGTGCCTGTGGACAAAATGAAGTAGCTTTGAACCTTTTGAAAAAGGTTGCAGGCTGTTCCGAAGCAAAGAACAAGCCCCACTTCCCCTCTTTTCTCTTGGGAGCAAAATTGTGTTCCCAAGATCCAATTCATGCTCGTGAAGGGATTGCATTTTCGCGTAAAGCCATTGACTTGGTAAATTATCAATGTGAGCATTTCATGGGTCAAGTTCATAAATTTCTTGGTGTTTGCTATGGCGGTGCAGCAAGAGCTTCTGTATTGGATTCTGAAAGAATGTTTTTTCAAAAAGAGTCTCTGAACTCTCTAAACCATGCTGTTCGTAATAAGGAGGAGAATCCTGAGGTCATGTTTAGTCTTGGCCTGGAAAATGCAGTGCAGAGGAATCTGGATGCAGCTTTCAATAATGCAATGAAGTACTCCGATATGATGGCTGGCAGCTCAGGACAAGGTTGGAAGTTATTAGCCCTTGTAGTTTCTGCAGAGCAGCGCTTCAAGGACGCTGAAACCGTAGTTGATTTTGCTTTGGATGAAGCCGGAAGAGTGGATCAGTTAGAACTGCTCAGATTGAAGGCTGTGCTACAAGTTGCTCAAGAAAATCCCAAGCAAGCAATAGAAACCTATAGAATATTGCTAACTCTTGTTCAAGCACAGAGGGATCTGCAAGCTAAAAACTCTGAGCAAGAGCCACCCTTCCATTCTGAGGTTTGCATTCCTTAACGAGTAAAATCACTTTTTGAAGTCACTATGTTTTTGCCCTTTCTCTGTTAAACCTTTTATTCTTTCCTCCGCAGGCATTTGTGGAAAGTAATTTGGAGAAGGAAGCCTGGCGGGACTTGGCAACCATTTATACAAAACTTGGTTTGTGGACTGATGCAGAAATATGTGTCAACAAAGCCAAGTTGATTGAATTTTATTCTGCCCATAGTTGGCATACCACAGGTAGGATTTTCCCTCCATTTTATTGTCATTCAAATGTCAACGATAAATCGTGTACGAGCATGAGAAACAAATGCTTGCGAACTTATATTGCTTATATTACTTCAATTCATATCCATTCATCTAATGCTCCGTACACATTTGCAGGTATGTTGTTTGAAGCTCAATCACAATACAGGGAAGCCCTAATTTCATTCTCAGTCTCATTGTCAATAGAGCCAGATTATGTTCCAAGCATTGTTTCTACTGCAGAAGTATTGATGAAACTTGGTAGCCAATCGCTCCCTATAGCTAGAAGCTTTTTAATGAATGCGCTAAGATTAGAACCAACGAACCACGAGGCATGGTTGAACCTGGGATTGATTTCGAAAAGGGAAGGCTCCTTACAACAAGCAGCAGACTTTTTTCAAGCTGCACATGATCTTCAGCTGTCAGCTCCAGTTAAAAGTTTTGTGTAATAATTTTGTGGCTTCCCAATTATTCTCAAGCATACAACTTTGAGAATAATAGACTTTGTACGTATAGGAGGATGGTTATTGCTTGTTCCACTGATAAATTGTAGTCGAAATTATGTCACTAGATGGAGCAACTATAAACGAAACTAAAATTGTTGCACAGAGAAATGAATGGCCAGATTTCATTATTAGAAGATGCACCAAAGCAAGAATTTTGCAATTGTTATTGTTCTCCTGACATTCCATATACACAATAAATGACACAGTGAATGTTGATTGATAAACAAAGTTTGCTTTGGAGATCTAGAGTATTTGTTCTAGGCAGAAGAGGACTTGGCAGTCCAAATATGGTTGTATCTGTATAAACACTGCAGAGAAAACAAACGTAAATTGTGAGAACAACAAAAACAAAAATGTCGAAACTGTTTATAAGAAAGAAAGAAAAAACTGTTGCTGCACGACTGCAGGTGTGAACTTCTTGAATGTGATAGCTGTAACACTATCTTCCTTGCTTAAGAAATTCTTAGACAAAAAGAAACTCCTGTCTATCAGAATTAATATTCACCCTGTTACATAGACGTTCTTTACCACTTTATCTTTTCTAAAGTCCCATATATCAAAGATAATATGCCCAAGACGGACAGACTTATAGCCTACAATGATGTGTGTCATACGAAACTTATTTTCACCCATAAGTTGAAACCATCACAGGATGATACTTCACAAAAAACTTATTTTACAGGGTATATCCCGTTCATAGACTTACAATTGGAAGTTGTTGGAGAGACGAAAGCTCCGCCTCAACCCATCGACCACTGCATCCACAACACGAACAAATAGTCAAACATATGAACTATCTGATTTCAACAAACATGCACATCACACTTTGGTATCAAGAGTGCAAAGGTCGCAGAAAAATTTGAAACCCAGCACATCATAGAATGACATCATAGGTCATATTTTATCCGCATCATATAAAATTAGCATAAAAGCAACAGAGATTGGCATTTAAACCACTAAAACCTACAGGACAGTCCTATGATATTATTGAAGATGTTGACAGTGTAGCTCAGATACATCAGCATCAATTTTCCAACACAAAACTTGGAAATTCAGTACTCAAACCTTTAATACTGGTTCGCCTTTGTTAGCGCTGGCAGCTTGCTTTGAAGCCGCCTGTTGCTGTGCACGCGCAGCTCTTCCTGCTGCAGACTTTTCGAATTCTTCTTGCCTGCAATTGTGGTTGCATTATATTAGTTCATTCAAATAATTAAGAAACCACTATGTGGGTACATGAGTAAAGTCTCCATTGAGTTGCCATATAATGCTAGCACACACACGTTTAATTTTATTATTATTACAATCAAAGCCAAATCCTGCAGGCAGAAATATCCTATGGCGTTGAAAATTGCTTAAATACAGAGGCAGTTTTATGTGTTTACAAAAATTTAAATCCGTTTCATAAATCACTTTTATTTGTTTCCTTTTTCCGTCATCACTTTCATCTAATTTTTCCCTATCCATGATGAAATTAAACGAAAAACATATACTTTATGAAAGGAAAATTATTAATCGATCCAAAAATAATATCTTTACATAAGTTTGGTTGCAACTAGATGTAATTGACAATGCCCAAACGAATTCAGATATCCAAATTTCGCAAATGAATCGATTGAGAAAAATCTATATATACCTTCTCTGGGCGGCTTCGGCAGCTTTGGCAAGAGCTTCCGCGGAGGCTATTCTGTCTTCTTCTTTTCTCTGTGCGTTGTTGCCTCCATCGAAACAACACAGCAGCCCCATCTCTCTCTTCTCAATCTGTGAGTTTTGCTTCGATTGACTTCTTATACAGTTTCTTTTTTGGTAATGACACGTTGCGATGTCCGGATCGAATGCCGCGTGCCACGTCATAAAGTCAGAGCATCTTGTCATCTTGCCAGCCTTGCCAAACGACGTCGTGGTATATCTTTGATAGATTAAATTAGCTAAACGCGGCGTTTCATTGGTTTTGCCTTCTTCTTGAGTGACTCTGCGGAAGCTATTGGCTCCTCCTGAAACCTAATTTGCAGAGATGACGAACAAACCGTTGGATTCACTACCTCCTACTGAAACACTAGAGATAGAGAGTGGATTGTCGCTGGTGCCACGCGTTAGGCTCAATCTCACAGTGTACTCGTCGAGCCAAGTTGTGACCAAACCCATCGATGAGTGGAAGATGAAGCAGACGCTCATAGACTTCCTAAAGAACTCGCTTTCTGTCTCCATCACCGTCCCTGAAGATGACCTCCAGGTCAGACGGCTCAAGGACCTCAAGAAGCGTAAGCGCGATGACCCTGTAGCTTTCGGTACACTGTTCATTCGCGACCTGGGGTTTCTGAACAAGACCAGTAAGAGAAACGATGGTGAGGAAGAAGAAAAGGACGTAAAGGAGTTGGAGAAGAAGTTCCTGGACTGGAGAAAGTACATTGTTGAGAAAATGGATGGGATTGAGCTCAATATCGAAGGGGTCAAGTACAAGCTAAACGTCGAAGTTCCGGAGTCTGATAATTTTGAGGCCATGAAGAAAGCTTGGGAGGAGTTTTACGCTTTTGGAAGTCGGGGTTTGTAATTATTTTTATCGGCTCAGAGCCTCAGGTTGAGCTTTGAATTTCGATGGAGTTCAATTTAAGTGAATTTGGTTCGATAAAGTTTGGTTCCTTTTGCAGGGCTTTCGACGAGAGGGAGGCAAGAGCCTGATACCATAATACTGAGGGGTGCTCCGTCACGCTGGTTTGCAGAGCCCCGGGTTTCTTCGAAGCCTTCAATGCTGGTTACCCATACCATCTTTTCTACATTTGGGAAGATAAGGCATGCCAACGTCTTTGTTCTCCAACTCTATTTCTTATTGTTTTATAGAAATCCTGATGCGTTTGAATTCTTTGTAATTTTTGAACACTAGCTTTTCATCAACTGTACTTTAGTTCTAAACGTTTGCCTAAACACTAATGTTTTGATTGAGCTTAAAAAGGTACTTAACAAAAGAAAAAGAACAGCAAACATGCGAAGCTATATTGCAATCTTCAACTTTTTTCTCGTTGCCTTTGTTATTAGCTCATGTGTGTATCCTCACTAGCATCCATGGCGTAATGGCCTTAGCTAATCATTATCATTCCTGTTGCTGCCCCTTTTTAATTACAATCTTTAGGAATCTTAATGTTGCTGAGGACGATGGTCTAGGTAAGGACGCGAACGAAGATGGTGGGGACTTAATTTCAGGTCTCCATTGTAAGATTGTGGTTCAGTTCGAGAAATACCAGGACTTCTATAATACTTTCAAGGTGTTATGTGGCCGCTCATTCCAGAAGGTAAGCAGTTGTTTTTCTCGTTATACAGTTTTTATAATTTTGTTAGGAGTGATATAAGATATAATGAGTGTTGTCAATCAAACTTGTCAAAATGTTGAGATATGATGCTAAAAGAACCTGTAGTGGAATTTATGTTTGGACTTATTAATCACCTTTTTTTTTTGTCTCTTGGTGGTAATTTTTTATATTTTTTTGGTCAAGTTTCTTGGTGGTAACTAAACGTTCCTTTCTGTGGAGCAGCAAGGATCTCAATTGAGGGCTGATTATGAGGTTACGTGGGACAAGGATGGATTTTTCCGATTCTCAAGAAATCAACCGCATGAAAATAGTAGCAGGATACGGGAAACAGCAACAACACAGCACAGAAGTGAAGCTCCAAGGCATCGGCAACACATCTCTCAATTCAGTTCCAACCAAGCTCCCCGCAAGAGGTTTAAGGTTAGAAACTAAGTGCGAAAATAACCAAGTAAAACGATTGGGCGGTCAAACAGGCTTTCAATGTTTCCCAGATGGGTCCAGCTATAATTGGTCCACTGGCCGAAACTCAAATCAACTAGCAAATCTTATGTTTATATGGTTACCATTTATTTACCAAAAAGGAAACTTCACCTTACTTCAAGCCTTTTTGGTGTTCTCTCCAATGGTGACATAAATGTTTCTGTTTGAATACAGGAATAGGGCAGTTGATCTGAAAATTCCCTATGGAGCCGGGAGTTTGAAGTGTTAGAATATGGCATGAGTCAATGTATGACAGAAAAGACTAGTCTTCAACTCTCTTATTGGTTGGTGGACATGATGCCTTGCACAACATCACAGCAGCACTTTATTTTTTAGGAGTTGTTAAATCGTACATTCAAGTGGGGCATTTCAATCCTGAAAGAAGAAGAAGAAATGTTTGCTATTTGCTTCATCATCCTTTTTTTCCGCTAACGGTTTGTAATGTATCCTTGGTCTTGGGTGTAAGAATTTTGAGTGTTTGAATAGTAAGAAATTGAGTGGAGATGACTCTGTTGGTCGATTTGCTTTGATTTGATTTGAATAGTAAGAGATTTGTAAGAACCCGATAAGAGTTTATAATGTATCAAGTCTTTATATGTTAAGAACCCCAATAAGAGTTCATATTGTTATTTCATTATCACGCCATATCTTAACACAAATAACAGCCATTGAAATATTACTCTATTACACACCGGCGGACATGCACAATACTTTTCTTCTATGTGCTAATTTAGAACTGTGTTTTAGAGTTGTAATCACACTTCAATTCTAATCAAAGTTTATTTTGACTGGACGCCAACATCCGAATTAAAAACAAAGTCCACCCTATTGGACGTAGGGGTGGGCATGGTTGGGTTGGGTTGGGTCGGTTTTAATCCCAACCCGTAACCCAACCGGGCGTATAACAGCTTATGATTTCTTGTTGCGCTCTTGTACCCATCACGTACTACATATTGTGTCCAAGGTGGAAGCTGAAGCTGCCCTATAGCTTTCCCTTTCGGCTGTTACCTGTGTGTAACAAAAAATATGCTTCAAAGTCTTTGAAGCATTTATATCTGGATAGTTGTATTCTTATGCCACCTTCTCAATTTTTTGTTGCATTCTACTATTTGATAACCCTTCGACGGGAAGCTACATGGGTTGGTGAATATTTCATGCTTTCTTTGCTATCCAATTCTCCATTCCTTCAAGTCTTGCGCTTGAAAGCTGCACATTGCCATCTGATTTGGAGATTGTTGGTCCATCCCTTCACCACCTGTAGGTGATTGGCTGTCATTACAAAGGAAATGTTATGATTTCTGCCCCGAAACTCACTGTTTTTGAAGGCAGAGGAGATCTTTTGTTGTTGGACGAGTAGCAATTATTGAAGGCAGAGGAGAGCTAAATTTGAGTTCAGGAAGATTGCACATTGATGCAGTTTTGAGTGTTTAAATCTAGAGTTTGTGTTTTGTTTATTATCAATAATCTGTTATGAGTCCTTAACGTGTTATGATTATTTGGTACTCTAGATTGAAAAAAACATGACAGTTTTAAAAGCGCTTTTTAGCAAAAGGCTCAATAAAATATCAAAAGCACTTTTATCTGTGTATACACTGTCAAACATGCCCTAAGGAGGTTGCAATCATTTTTATGGGCAAAAGCCTTTTGCAAATATTGTGCATAATTAGATGTCTGGTGTATGCATTGGTTAATGCGATCTTGAACGTATGTTACAGAGGAATAGCTAGATTTAATAAGGACAAAATATTAAAACCGTCAGTTAAAATAGAAGATAGTAATTTAAAAAATTATAAAAAGAGCAGCATACCGTTTCGTATAATAAAACATAAAAAAAAAGGAATTTCACTAAAACACCCAAAATGAGGGTTGAAATTATAAAAAAACCCAACACCCAAAACACTTTATAAACACACCCAAAATCCATCATTACACACACTCAAAATCCATTTATAAACACACCCAAAAAGTTGACTTTGAGGTTGATTTTGGGTGTGTTTCTATGTTTAAATAGTGCTTGGATTTTTTTATAAATACATGTCTAGGATTGGGTTTATTTATTTTGTAAAAAAAAAAAGGAGTTTCACTAAAACACCCAAATGAAGGTTGAAATTATAAAAAAACCCAACACCCAAAACACTTTATAAACACACCCAAAATCCATCATTACACACACTCAAAATCCATTTATAAACACACCCAAAAAGTTGACTTTGGAGTTGATTTTAGGTGTGTTTCTATGTTTAAATAGTGCTTGAATTTTTTTATAAATACATGTTTAGGATTGGATTTATTTATAAAATTGTAAAAAAATAACATGACAGCATTCCTTTCCTTTTAGTAGAAGAAGGATACTTTCGAGAATACAAAACACGCGCGTTACCCTTGCCAGAAACAACTATAAGAAGTTCCCAACCAACGTCCTTGTTTGAGTTCCATCTCTGTGAGACTACTGTCTCTTCGATCTCCTTAGGTTTTGTCGTCTTTTTCTTTTTTTCTGCTTGTTGTTAAGAAAAAAGATTCGGATAGGGTTTTATTTATTCTTTTTTATTTTGATTTGCTATTTTTCTCCGCTGCTTTCTGGTTCGTAATATGTTTGCCTGGAAAAGAATTTGGCTTCCATATGTTTGATGTTTTTGTATTTGATTATTATTTTTCAATATGGTATATATAGGAACAAAATTGAAATATTTATTCAGCCCATTTCAGAAAATCACTGCACAAAACATAGATAGATCTCGACTCTCCATCCTGTTTCTCATACTCTGGCTCTCCTGTGTCACTAATAAATGGATGAGATACAAGAATCTTTAGAGGTATGGAAGTTTGCATTTACCCTGCTTTGCTTCTACTTTCTCCGTGCTATGTCTATCAATGGCTATATACTCTGCTCTGCTATTCCATTCTAATTATTGAGAGTATAATTTTCTTTTAATGGCTTGAATTTTAATCTACTTAGTTATTTTCTCGTACTGTGTTACCTGCTGTAACAAATTTACTGTTTATTTAGTGATTCTCAAATTTGTTATTAATGCTTTGTTGTGGTAACTTGTTTTTTATATTTTATTTTTTGCATCTACCAGGGTAACAGGGACAGGATCAGTGAATTACCTGATTGTATTGGTTCCTATATTGTGTCTAAGTTAACAATCAAAGATTTGGTTACAACCAGCGCACTGTCAAAAAGATGGCTAAGGATGTGGAAATTAAGGAGAAATCTTGTTTTTGATATTCCCAACATGTTCAATATTGATCTTCCACCTCTGTGGGAAGGTGCTGGGCTGGATATCGATCATGAATTCCTTGATCAGGTTACTGATGAATATGTGAGACGAGTTGACCAATTTATGCGGACCTTCCCAGGGCCAAAGATAGTTTCTTTCAGGCTGACCCACTATATTGATGTTCGCAAGTATGTTTCTTTTGTTGACAAATGGGTTGAAGAGATTGCTATGCTCTCGTACCCATCACTTACTACATTTTATGTGCCCAGGAAGAAGCGGCCCTACAGGTTTCCCTTTCAGCTCTTACCAGTGTGTAACAAAAAATATTTGAAGCATTTGTATCTGGATAGTTGTACTCTTATGCCATCTTCTCAATTTTTCACTGCATTTTACTATTTGATAACCCTTCGACTGGAAGCTACATGGGTTGGTGAAGATTTTATGATTTCTTTGCTATCCAATTCTCCATTCCTTCAAGTCTTGCGCTTGAAAAGCTGCACATTGCCATCTGATTTAGAGATTGTTGGCCCATCCCTTCACCACCTGGAGGTGATTGGCTGTCATTACAAAGGAAATGTTATGATTTCTGCCCCGAAACTCACTGTTTTTGAACATCGCAACTTATGGGAGTGGGAGAATATATTGAGAAAGATATTCTTACATGCATGGAAAGAGAAGATGATACCTCCTCCAATTTCACATTTCACTGGTTTTGCCTAGATTGAAAATCTCAACCTGCGCATGTCTTCTGGAGAAGTAAGCGATATAAGAGAACATTTTATACTATAGATATAGAATGTAATTAACCCCAACTTATAATATCATACATCTTTCTTATAATGTGTGTGTCTGAATTGGCAGATGCCAAGATTGCCAGGAAACATAGCTCCACTTAGGAATCTTAAGCAATTGTATTTGTCTGTAGATGAAGGTGATGCTCTAGGATGCTCAAATCTGTTGTGGGTTGTCCTCTTTCTGAAGGCTTCTCCTCTTCCGCAGAAGCTTACATATAGGGTGAGTCTGCATATTTAAACATAAATCTTTGGGTCTAACTACCCAATTATTTGTCTGACAATATTAACAGCACACTCATTATTTACAATGAAAATCACAACTCCCTTGATCACTTGCAGTCTCAGAGAACATTATTGTTATGTTGCATGGTCTTTCGAATCTATTATGCATTTTATCCTTTAATTATTAACTCAATATCTACTTGAAATTGATCTTTGTTCAGAGTGTCATCTCACATCCAAAATGGAAGCATTGCATTAGTAACTTATTTTAGGCCTCCCTACCCATTGGCAATTTATTTTCATTGGTTTGGATTGTGAAACTGATTGTCAATCAGTTAATTGTTAACTCAAAATCTATAACTGAAACTAACCTTTGATTTGTTTTGATTGTGAAACTGATTGTAAATCATTCTTCCTGCTTATTGCTGCGTCCAGAATCACCGCCTGGCTTCTCTGAAAATGAAGGAAGTGAAAGATGGCAACCGGAGGAGTTCACCCATAATCAATTTAAAGAAGTTGAAATAGCTGGATGTGTAGGTAGGTAATTGGTTCGAAGTCGAGCTTTCTATTTACATGCTGCCAAATGTGCAAGGTCTTGAGCAAATGGTCTTGAACCCCTCCCGGAGATACTATAACGGAGGTGGGAGTTGGATTGATGATGAAAAAATAACCAATCTTATGCAACTTGTTATTGCATAGAGAAGGGCCGATAAATGGTGAAAAGCTTCGAGACAAAGTTCCTGGCAGTGCAAAACTCGTATTGTTATGATGACCTACTTCCACTTCCATTAGGTTTGTTGGTTGGTCCTATGGGATGGGGCATGCTTAGTGAAGCACAAGTTGGGTGTTTGAATTTAGACTACTGCTTAAGTTAGTTTGGTCAGATTCTCTTAAGGTTATTTGAAACTTAATTTTTATTACAAGACCTGGATGAACATGACAAAAGAAACTAGAGAAGTTGCAGAACTAAAAGGGGTCATATACTTTTCAAGTGTGTTGATCACAAAATCCATTAAAAACTTAGTACGAGCTCGGCTCCATTTGGACCAAGAGTGTGCTCCACCACTACGTCACATAGTTTTCTAAGATCCTCTGTGTTCACAGCACATTCATAGCTATATTTATGTAAAGGCTTGACATACTACAAGGAAATGAAACTACATAACTGCAGAGGCCCCATTAGGGTTTAGGCATGTCAACCTAACTAGTTTAATTAATTATTTAATGACAATTGGCGTAATGAAACGTCTGTACTTAATAGTACATTGGTTTTTTTATGCGGTAATAATCAACATGTACTTTAATTTAGTCATATGAAACTGCACTCAGGGAGGAGCGTAGAGAAGGAAGCACTTTGCTGCAGGCTGGTGAGAGGAAGGAGGAGGATGCTCCTGGGAAAACTGGTGAGAGGAAGGAGGATGCTCCTGTGAAAACTCTCTATTCATCACCAGCTTCCCGATCTACAATGCGAAGATAGATTTCATTCAGGCAACTGAAGATGGTCCTGCCTCGTAAGTGTGTTCAACTTCACAGGCTTTGTATGGCCCCATTTTTATGTCCTCATCACTGAATTTTTTGAGTAAATTTAGGTTTTAGCAACAAAAAAATTTCACTTTTGGAAAAAGCCAAAGCTTTTTCAAAAAAGACAGAAAAATCCCTCAACTTTCAAATTAAAGACATGCAAATGTAAAGGATTTCTTAGGAAATCCAAAAATAAATAAGAGCAATTTTATCCATTTTGACTTCTTTTACAAAATTTCTCTCTCCTTTGTGTTTTTCCAAAGTCTTGTTACTTTTGGAGTGGTCTTGGGTGTAAGTTTTTTGAGTGCTTGAGTAGTAAGAAATTTTGCTGTGTTGGTTGCTTTGATTTGGTTAGCATAGCAGGTAGGAGAATCAGAGATTTGTAAGGCTAGAGGCAAGGATGATTTCCAAAATTCATTATTATGTGCTGTTGATTATTCGAAATGTCATTGATGGTGCCAAAAAAAAAAAGAGTAAAAAAATGACTTTCTATAATTTATAATGTTGTCATGTTGTTTCATTCTCACATCATATCTTAACACAAATATAAGTCGCTAAAAGATTACACCATTGGAAGCCAACATAAAAATGGAAAAGACATCCCCATAGACACTTATGACCACAATACTTTATTCTTCTCTATGCTGACTTGCATGAAACTGTGTTTTGGAGTTGTGATCAAAGTTTATTTTATTATTTTGAATTTGATAGAACACCATCATCCAAATCCAAAACAAAATGGTGTACTCTATTGGACTTTTCGGTTCATAATCATGCTGTGTATTCTTCCAAATAATTCTTCTTTTTTGGTTTTGGATAGAGAGAGGCCGGGAAATAGTTGGTGAAAAGCTTCGAGACAGTTCCTGCCAGTCCAAAACTCGCAATGTTAAGACCCACTTTTTCCACTGGGTTGGTACCATTGGATGTGGCATGCTTATTGAAGCACAAGTTGGGTGTTTGACTTTAGACTACTGCTTATAATTAAGACCAGTTTTGCTAAATTTAATTTACTGTGCTTTGTTTAGACTACTGCTTAAATAAAGAAGCCTGTTTGCATGCAAGAATGAATCAGGTTAGATTGATTCTAATGTTTCTTGGTTACAAGGGGAATGAATTTAAAGGGAACTACAAGCTGAGGGGCCATTTGGGATTTCTCATGTTATAATCAAATTCTTGGCTAGGCTTGGCAAAATTGGAATTGAGCATGTTACTTGCCCAACAACACACATTAGTGATTCATAGGAAATTAATTAGTTAGCACAACACTTTCTGGAAAAAATATTAAATACACAATATTTTAATGGATTGCGTTGGGTCAGTTTTAATCTCAACTCGTAATTCAACCCGATATATAGCGGTTTATAATTTATTGGACTCAAAGATCTGCTCATTATTAGGCCCCAACTCAACTCAATCCAAACTTTTGTGATCGGATTAGGTGGTTCGGTTAGGTTAGGTTAACTCAAATTAAGCCTAGTCTTAAGTTTTGGTTCCAGCTCGTAACACAATCTTTTATATGGCGGTTTATAATTTTTTGAACACAATACCCACTCATTTTTAGGCCAACCCAACCCAATTCACTATAATTAGGTTGGTAAGTTCAGTCCGATTAACTCGAAATTGTGCCCACCCCTAACATATTATGTCCTCCTCCACCCTTTAGAGCATCCATAATGATGATCTCTATTTCTTAGCTAAAATTTGGCTAAGAATTAAGAAAGCTATTTTAGGAGCTCTCTAAAAAAATTCAACTCCAACCACACTCCTTAATTTGGAGAGTCATAAATGTTTTAACTCTTTTAATTGGTCCATCTCTATTATAAAATAAAATAAAAAATAGTTAGCATTAAATAAAAGTTTGAAATACTCATTAAATAAAGCAGCATTAAATTATAGGGAACCACTAGAAGTCATTTCTCTCTCCTCATATTTAGGAGCTCCTAGAGGACTCCCTATTTTAGGAAGTGGATAGGGAGTGTGGTTGGAGTTGCATTTTTACGATTCCTCCCTAAAATTTGTCTAAGGAGGTGGTTTAGGGAGCCCATTATGGATGCTCTTACAACCAAATATCAGCTTTGTTTGCAAGGAGAATTTTTAAGGGACCAAAACTGCATTTCTCATCACTTTAGGATTTCACCTGATTATGTGCAATCCGGTTCAATATAATTTCACAATTCGGTCCAATGTAATTTCGACTAGAAATATGATATCAATCTAATTAACTTAGGCCAGCCAGCATATCCCAAACCCGATGTTTAAAGGAATTGAAACAGATTATCCAGACCAATAAAAAAGGACTAAAACAAATTCAAAATCTCCTAAACTCGCTAGGTAAGTCGGCAAATTTAATCCTGAACCCGATATGTAAAGGACTAAAACTAAAACAAAATCTCCTAAACTCACTAGGTTTGGTTGAGAGCTGGCAAATATGAAATCCTAAACCAAATAGGTAAAGGACTAAATCATCTATAAAAAGCCTTGAATCAGGGTTCCAAAATCGTAAGTTGAGTTCTGCTCATAACTCAAAATTTCCCAATTTTCTATTTCTAGTTCATAGCAAACCATCGTACGTGACCTTTTCTTTTTCGAATCAATCAATCTCCAGTCAACAAGTATGGCTGCTGCCACTGAAGATGGTTTCACGAAGCTCAACCACCTTTCCTTGCTCTCCAAGGTAGTTTCAGAGCTCGAAACTCATACGGGGTTGGGAGACGTTGTTCTTGCAGAGTTCATCACTGACTTGGGACGAAGCTGCGAGACTGTCGACGAGTTCAATTCCAAATTGCAGGAAAACGGTGCCCAGATGGCGGATTACTTTGTCCGTACACTCTTCACCATCATTCACGCAATCAGTCGTCCGAAGCCGCCGAAGCCTGAGAAGGTCTCGAAGAAAGACAGAGTCTTTGAGCCCGTGAAGGAAAATAGAAATTGCAGAGAAGAAGATGAAGAAGAAAGACGTGGAGGCAGGAAGGCTAGATATAGAGATAATGAACGAGATAGACATGAGAGGCGTAGAAGTGATGAAGAAAGGGAAAGAAGGCACAATGAACGTAACAGAGATGGGTGTGAATTGTATACTGTTCATAAGGGTAGGGTGGCCAGAGTGATGGACAACGGTTGCTTTGTTCAGTTGAATGGTCAGGGAGGGAGGGAGGGTTTGGTTCATGTTTCGCAGATTTCGAATCGGAGAATTCGTAATGCCAAGGATGTGGTGAAGAGGGATCAGGAAGTTTATGTCAAGGTGGTTTCGGTTTCGGGTAGGAAGTTGAGTCTTTCGATGAGGGATGTTGATCAGCGAACTGGGAAGGATTTGCTTCCCTTGGAGAAGAAGAGCTCGGAGGGTGACGGTCTTAGGACAAACCCATTGTCGTCAAAGGATAGGCCTGTGACTAGGATTGGTATTTCTGGGATTAGGATTGAGGAAGAGGATGATGTTTTTGTCCCATCACGCCGCCGGCCATTGAAGAGAATGAGCTCGCCCGAGAAGTGGGAAGCCCAGCAGTTGATTGCCTCTGGTGTTTTGAGCGTTACAGAGTATCCCATGTATGATGAAGAAGAAGCAAATGGTATGCTTTATCAAGAAGAGGGAGCTGAGGAAGAGACTGAGGTTGAAACCAGGGAGGACAAGCCGGGGTTTTTGGAATATTCTTTGGACATGTCCCCTGTGAAGATCTTGAAGAATCCAGAAGGGTCATTGAGCCGCGCAGCTGCACTTCGATCTGCGCTAGCTAAGGAGGATAGAGAAGTAAGCAGGCTGGCAAAAACCATGTTGAATTCTATCCCAAAGGATCTGAATCGTCCCTGGGAAGATCCAATGCCAGAGGCTGGTGAGAGGCAATTTGCACAAGAGCTTAGAGGTGTGGGTTTGTCAGGCTATGAAATGCCTGAGTGGAAGAAGGATGCTTTAGGGAAAACCATCAGTTTTGGGCAGAGGTCAAAGCTCTCAATTCAGGAACAGAGGAAGAGCTTGCCTGTCTACAAGCTGAAGGAACAACTGATTGAGGCAGTGCGTACTAATCCAGTGCTCGTCCTCATTGGTGAGACTGGTTCTGGTAAAACAACCCAGGTAACGCAGTACCTTGCAGAAGCGGGTTACACGACAAAGGGCAAGATTGGATGTACGCAGCCACGTAGGGTGGCTGCGATGTCTGTGGCCAAGAGGGTTGCTGAAGAGGTTGGTTGCCGTTTGGGAGAGGAAGTTGGCTATACAATTCGTTTCGAGGATTGCACTGGACCAGATACTGTCATCAAGTACATGACCGACGGTATGCTTCTTAGGGAGATTATGATTGATGAGAACCTTTCTCAATATTCCGTGGTGATGCTTGACGAAGCTCACGAGAGGACGGTCGCTACAGATGTGCTTTTTGGTTTACTTAAGCAGCTTTTGGACCGGAGATCAGACTTTCGTTTGATTGCCACATCTGCTACTCTGGATGCAGAGAGGTTTTCAGAATATTTCTGCGACTGTCAAATCTTCACCATCCCCGGGAGGCCTTTTCCCGTTGAGAAATTATACACCAAGCAGCCAGAAAGTGATTACCTTGACGCAGCTCTAATCACTGTCCTACAAATCCACTTAAAAGAACCCGAAGGTGACATCCTTCTCTTCTTGACAGGACAAGAAGAGATTGATTTTGCCTGCCAGACTCTATATGAGAGGATGAAAAGTCTTGGTAAAAATGTTCCTGAGTTGATTATTCTACCAGCATATAGCGCCCTTCCAAGTGAAATGCAGTCGAGGATATTTGATCCTGCTCCACCAGGGAAGAGGAAAGTAGTTGTGGCTACTAATATTGCTGAGGCATCACTGACCATTGATGGGATATTTTATGTAATTGATCCGGGGTTTGCTAAACAAAATGTTTATAACCCAAGGCTGGGGCTTGACTCACTGATCATAACTCCAATTTCACAAGCGTCGGCTGAGCAAAGAGCTGGGCGAGCAGGGCGTACAGGCCGTGGGAAATGTTACCGCCTCTACACTGAGAGTGCATACCGCAACGAGATGTCCCCAACTACAACTCCAGAAATCCAGAGGATAAATCTGGCGTCGACTGCACTTATGATGAAAGCTATGGGAATAAATGATCTCCTGAAATTTGATTTTATGGATTCTCCTCCAAGCCAAGCACTCGTTTCTGCCATGGAACAACTGTACAATTTAGGAGCACTAGATGAGGAGGGGCTGCTGACCAGATTGGGTAGGAAAATGGCTGAGTTTCCTCTGGAACCACCCCTGTCTAAGATGCTACTCGCCAGCGTGGACCTTGGATGCAGTGATGAGATGTTGACCATCATTGCAATGACTCAAACAGGCAATATGTTTCACAGGCCAAGGGAAAAACAAGCCCAGGCAGATCAGAAGAGAGCCAAGTTCTTTCAGCCAGAGGGAGACCACCTAACTTTACTTGCACTCTATGAGGCTTGGAAAGCAAGTAACTTTTCAGGGCCATGGTGTTTTAACAACTTTGTTCAGTCTCGATCTTTGAGGAGGGCACAGGATGTGAGAAAGCAGCTTCTGAGCATCATGGACAAGTACAAACTGGACGTTGTCAGCACAGGAAAGCACTATACAAAGATCAGGAAGGCGATTACCGCAGGGTTCTTCTTTCATGCTGCTCGAAAGGACCTGCAGGAGGAGGGTGGCTGCTACAGAACCCTGGTGGAGAACCAGCAGGTTTATATCCATCCAAGCAGTGCTCTGTTCCAGAAACAACCAGATTGGGTCATCTACCATGAGCTGGTTATGACCTCAAAAGAGTACATGCGCGAGGTGACAGCCATAGACCCAAAATGGCTGGTGGAACTGGCACCAAGGTCCTTCAAATTTGCAGAGGCTAACAAGATGAGCAAGCGCAAGCGTCAAGAACGCATCGAGCCGCTATATGACAGATACAATGAGCCTAACTCTTGGCGCCTCAGTAGGCGTCGTGCTTGAAGCTTGATATATATATTGGTCTTTATCTTGCATTGATTTCTCTGTAATGTAAAAAGAGAATTGGCATATAAAGGTCTTGTATTGATTTCTTTGTAATGTAAAAGGAGATTAGCATATATGCTTTGGTATATAATATATAATACATTACCACATGTTGAAGTTTGAATTTCTAAGCTTAGTAGTATACTTCGGAAGAAATGTGAACACCCCCAGACTAATCACCAACTGTTTACTCTTTGTTAATTGCATGTCTAATCTGATTTCCATTTTTCAAAATCTGAAACAGACAAGAATTATTGCTCGTTTTCATTTGTTAAATTAATCGTACACTTGATTGGCATTTCAATGCTGAAAAAAGAAATATTGCTTCATCCTCTTCTCTCTCTTTTTTCCCAGTGGTTTGCAATTTATAGCGTTGAATCAATCTTTTTTGTTACGCGGAGTGGCCTTTGGCTGTAAGAATTGCAGATCACAGTTGCAGAGAGAGCATAGTTGGTCATACTTTTTCAAACTAGTAACATCAATTGACCTTCCATCAAAAAACCAATTCCTACTTGCTAGAAGAAGGTTTGTTTTTATGTCTTACTGAGTGTTACATTGGCCAACTCTTACCTTTGAGAAGCCTCATACTTTGGCTGAATCCCATTATTTGTTGAACCAACCTCCCATGATTGTATGCAGTCTAACAGTGCCACCGGAGATCCTTACGTCGTGCCGTGGTGATTCTAAAGTCTTTGTTTGGTTAACCTTCTGTCACTCATCCTCTTAAATAATTAGATGCCTTGACTGAGTTCTTAAGATGCAAAAATTTCTTCCTTTTTTTATTATTTAAGCGTAGCGATGTTGGCACTCTCAATTTAGCTTTCATCGCTCCGAATTGAATCACACTCAGAAGCAATGTCATATGCTAAACTGGAAATGTGAAAATCGTTCTTCTTGTTTAAACGATGGTCAGTCCAGCTCTTGATGAAAGTACATGTTGTATTCCCCATAATTTACAAAATAAGTAAACAGGCCATGGCTGGTTGTGGATCTTAAAAATTGATGATTTTGGAAGAATTGTGAACCCCCTAACCAATCACCAAAGTGCTTCCTCATAGTTCACTACATGTGTAATCTGCTTTCCATATTTCAAAATCTGAAAAAAAATCAAATTTTTTTGTTCCTTTTTCATATTTGAAGCAATATGATCTTGAAGATTGATTAATTTAATTGTTGTGAGCAAGAATTTCCTTCTTAAATTCCCAAGAAAATTTCATATGGTTATTACCATTAAATAATCATCGTGATACGCAGCATCTCATGGTAGAGGAGAAACGTGAAAATTGTTTGTTTAAAAAGATGAGGAGAAACGTGGAGTGGATTTAGTTAAGTATATTACAGCAAGGCCAAAGCAGCTCCAGATTTCTCAGGTATTGCATTCAATAAAATATTCTGTTGTAGCTCTCAGCTTCATTATGACGCGACTAAGATATATTTTGTGATGAGTTTGATATTTAATTGTGGTAATTCTCATTGTTGCACCATAACTTTTATTGTAGGTGTGTTGTTGACTCCATTATAAGAGAATCATATTTTGTGATGAGTTTGATATTTAATTGTGGTAATTCTCATTGTTGCACCATAACTTTTATTGTAGGTGTGTTGTTGACTCCATTATAAGAGTATCGTTGTACATCTCTTAATGTTTATCCGAAAGAAAAAAGGTTATTTGACCTCGACTTGGTTAGAAACATTGTGTTTTTTTAACTATTATAAGCAACGCCACACAATTATACTCATGACGATAGCTTAATCCACAATCTAATCCTTAATTAGCTTTTTTCTGGAAATAATTCAGCATAAAACTAGAAGATCAAGACATAATTAACCACATAATCATGGAATTACCAGGCAGTTTTCACTGATTACATCTTACAAAACCTCTATGCCATAAAGAGCTAACATGACATGGGCTACTATCTATATAACTCATAATTTACATTTACAAACATGTCAAACAGAGAGTTGAATTTCTAAGTTTCAACCCAACCCCCCCACAAGCAACCAATTAAAAAGCAGAGCTTGTACATACAGAGCAGTCAAATATTGACCCAAAAAAAAAAATGGAAAAAAGAAAGAAAGAACCAATTAACATATGGAGAAATTCACAAGCCAATCGCATCATGATCATGGTCACCAGCTTTTCCGGTGACCGTGCTGTTGCGACCGGGGCGTACCCACGGTGGGGCTACTACTCTTTGGAGAAGACAAGCCATGATGATCGGCTGCCGTCTTATTATTGTTGTCACTGAATCTTCTAACGTGGTCTTTTTTCTTTGATGCTCTTCTTGTGCTGCTTCTGCTGCTGCTCTCTTTCAACGTTGGCAATGCATACCAACCAATAGAGGTGCATAGTATGGCAACAGATCTCCCGAACACAGCCAACAGCACCAAAATGAATACCATAACCACTGGCAAATAAAAAGATGGCCTTTTCCACAAGCCCAAGTTCATGTCACTGAAACTCCATGACCAAAACACCCTCCTCTTCTTATCATCAGTCTTGGGTTGCTCCTGGGACACTTCCTTGGTGGGTGTTGAGGGCTCAACGGTAAATTTATCGAGTGGTGTTGCATGCTTTTCTTTTACCAGTACCTGATATTGATCAGGCTTGCTGATTTTGTTGTTGTTTTGGTCTTCCTTTTTGTCCTTCACTTTGATCACGATCGGGACGGGGACGTCGTCGTTTGAGTCCTTGAACACAAAGCGGACAAACGATATGTCCTGTGGGGGCGTTTCTGCATAAATCTTCTGCCTTTTCTCTTCAAGATCAGCTAAGAGTGCAGAGAACTTGTCGAGGCCGCGGCTTGAGTATGGGTTTTTGCTGTCCTTGCCGCTTCTTCTGGACGATCTTCTTGGAGTTGAACACGGACTTGAACTTATGGGTTCATCGTGAACATCTTCTGGGTGGAAAAAGCCACAGCTGAAAGGGCTCAACATTTGAAGTCAACTGAGTTTTTGAGAGAGAGAGAGAGAGAGAGAGAGATTGGTGTTGTGGGTTTTTTGTGATTTGGTTGATTGGAAGAGAAGAGAGCCACATATTTA